AATTGGACTCATTAATTCTTAGCTTTTTAACTCAGGTATGAGAGCAACCCTCAAGGTAAATCAACACGGTGTATTTGCTTGTGTGTACTTGTGTGTGCGTGTTGTTGTGTGGTTCTTTGGCCGGTCCTGACAACTTCATAAGGGGCTTTTTGAAGGTTAAGCTGAGGCAGTTTCTAACACCACGCACACACATACATTGACAGACACACAAACACCATCTCCACCTTATAGGTATTAAGTGTCTCGACCTGGTAACACAAGCTTTTTGGAGGCTCTATGTTAGACAGCTCTACTGCCACACACACACACATTGACAGACACACACAAGTGCAGTTGCTGCCCAAACTTTCACACAACTGACTGTGATTGGCTAATTAGATCAGGGCATTTTTTTTCACTGTTGTCCATGTTGTTTTGTTTTGTGTCATGTGTGAAAAACCTCTAGAATATTGCACCTGAGGATTTCTTCCCGAACTTTCACTTGGATTTTTGCTTATTTAGTCATAAACATATAGAAATGCATGAGATCTGAAATCACGGTTTTTGGGGGGACATTAAGTAAAAATTTGAACGCTTGAATGATTTTTACTTGAGTATTTTTACTTTTTCCACCACTAGCCTATTTGTTGATGTCATCCTATTTTGAGATCATACAAACAGCTGCTGCTTATTTATGTGAAGTGTGTGTTTCTGTTGATGCATCAGGAATCAATGCTAATCAAATATGACCTGCTGCAGATCTTTGGTCACCCCATCTTGTTTCCAATCTGTTTTCATGACTCTATGTGTTGTAAAAACACTTGTTATTGCAGATGTTATTGGTCTATACCATCTCGTGAATGGTGAACCATTACAGATGCTTCCTCTAGGGCCCCTTAGTCACTAATACTCAATTACTTTCCACATGTTTAACACATTAAAGAGTGATGTATGGTATGTCCCAGCGGTATTATGTCAGCCAGATCCTAAGAAATAGATTTGACGGTTTGTAATTATGGTTAGGCTTTTGATGGGTGGGAACAAAACCCAACAGTGACAGCAACCCTCAGGGCAGCCATTGTTGGAGCTGACTTCACCTGGACCTCTATGACGGTGTCTGTCTGGTGGTCTAAAAACTTCTCCCAAAGGGAAATACCAGTGTAACACTGTGAATGCACTAGTGGTTTCAACAGACTAAACCACTGCTGGTGATGACATCGATACTAGCAAAATGAGTATCCAACAATCCTCTGGCTCCTTGTGACAAAACATAACAAAGACATAATAACAGCCTGTTGGCTACAAATTCTGTGGTAAACTGAAGGAATGAAGACGATGATTTGCTTTTTAAAGACAAATTCACAAAGCTGTGTTACAAAGAATATCAAATGGAGGACTACAAGTCATGAAACACATGCATTTATGATGCAACAAAGATAACTGATTGGATTAGGAGTTACTGCTGAGTCGTCTCTAAAGAACCAATGGTTTGTGACTCTGTTGACCTTTAGCAGGACAGTTAACTTAACACAAGGCCTTGACCCGCCACACAGCATTTTCACTATTAGCTACTGCCTGTCTGGAGGTGAGGGAGATATATTGTTGTGCTTGACACGCCTGCAGCAGGAGGAGCATGAACAAGGGGTGGGGGATATATACGTAGGTCTGACAGCAAAGTCCAAATGAAAAGTAAATATGCAGTTGTGGTTTTGCATGCTGTTCAAATAAGAACAAAAACTCCACACATTTCATTTTACAAGCAAGAGATAAGATGTTTTATTTTAATGAGACTTTTATGTGCCTTCACTTCTTCCCTCTGCTTTCCATGAAGTATTATTCAAAAGTGCCCTTCGGTCAAAAGGTTAGGTGTTTTCCTGAAACTGACAAGCTGTGGGTGAGACCCACCCTTCACCAACTAACTGTCAGGAGTTATAAACGATGCTTTGGTTCTTGTTGCGACACAGCGCCATTGCCTGAGGGAGGAAAGAAGAGGAAGATAATTTCACGACTTGTGTGTATGTGATTTAAAGGGGTGGGGGGGGTTGAAGATGGAGGGATGTTCATGGGTCTCTGGGTTTATGGATGCCTGTCCTAATCAACCTCCTGCAACAGCTTCACTTTTATGAGCAGTCATTTAAACTGTCTTTCATGATGCTCTGCTTGTTATTGACCTGCGGGTAGCTCAAGGTTAAATAACCATGCTTGGTATCTTAGAACAGTAGTGTGTTTCTCTTCTAATGGCAAAGTGCAAGAGGTCACATAATCTGAATACTCGCGCAAGACGTGCCCTCCTGTTCTTACAGACAAAAACACGTTCTCTTTACATATCATCTGTAGCCATAATCATGAGATAACCGTAGCTACTGCAATGTATTTTAAACAGACCTGCTACTGTTCATCAGAAGCATATGCCTATATTAAACTGCCTTTTACTAGTTGTATACAAAACTTTATATTTTTAAATTTAGGGAAACATTTAGGGAAAGATAGTTATTTTGTGTGTGCACTAACTATGGGGCCTGAGCCAGGAGGCATTTAGCTTAGCTTAGCAAAAAGACAAAAAAGGCAGCGGGAAACAGCTAGCCTAGCTCACTCAAGTTCAAAAATATTCTTATCAACAACTGTAAAGCTCATTTAGTGATGTTCTTCCAGACTTCTCTATTAAAATGGGTAGGGTAGGGTAGGGTAGGGTAGGGTAGGGTAGGGTAGGGTAGGGTAGAAAAAGCATCTTCACCCTTCAGTGTATTTGGGTCCATTCGGCATGGATAGACAGAGCAAGGCTACCTGTTTGCCCTTGTGTGCCGTTTTTATGCTAAGCTAAGCTAATCAGCTACCTGCTCTAGTTTCATACTATACACAGACATGATAGAGGTGTTGATTTTGTCATCTAAATCTCAACAAAAAAGTGAAAAAGCATATTTCCCAAAAAACTATTCCTATACCTAAACAGTATTCTATTTTGATATATAGTCTATGTTTGCAACCAGTGGAGTCGCCCAACGATGGTATACGTCCATTTTTATATACAGTCTACGATTAAAGCATGGTGGCTTTATGTTTAAGCAAAAGGGGCCTGTACTTTGAGACTACAGTCTCAACCAGCTCACTATATCTCATCTGACTGCATATCTCAAGATCACTTGGTGACTGCACTGAATCACATTCATACACTTTTCACTCATTTTCTTTCCATCAGGTTCACCAAACCAGTTCCTGGCTCTTTCTGTAGGGCCTCAGACATTTCTGCCTTTGTGCTGACATTCAAATTGACATATCAGTATCCATTGTCTGTTTCTAACATTTTGTAATTATACACTGGTGGTAATGTTACACTACAACAACGTCAGCCTTAAGTCTCATGGAAAGATAAAGTGCTATACGCATACATGAACACACGATGCCTTCGGGTTTCCTGAGGCGACATTCACTGCTGTCAACCCGTCACCTGGGTTATGCTTGACTCGTACTGTCACTGTTGTGTTTTGTCCTTTCTCCTGACTTATAGTTTTGGTGTGTGACAAGCTTCAGGTACAGTTACTGCACAATACCTACTTCTGGTTTGTTGCTGTTTCCTTTAGTGTTTTATTTGTCTTTTTTCTTTCTTAGTCTCTCTTGCACACTTTTTCTTCTTAATGCATCAGTCTTTAGGTTTAAACAGCTTTCTCTGTTTGCCATTGTCTTCTTTGTCTCCTTCCTTCTCTTGCCTTGTATCTGGGTGCTGTTGCCTCATCACACAGAACCTGAAGCTCCAAACATCCAAAGGGGAAACAGTATACAATCATTGATGCTTAAATCTCTTTAGTGTGATGTTCTTTATTTTTATATTTTATCTTGTTCGTTATGTGCATTTGAGGAAGAGGTGGGGGTTGTGCTTCACAAAGTGACATGACAACATGGTTTCTCACTTTGCTACAGATCAATTAGCCTCAAAGATCGAACACCCAACAGTGAATGTATGAAAACCCCATCAACACTTTTCGCCCCTAGAAACAATTAAGATGCTCCCAATCTGTCTAGTACTTATTACTTTGTGCCATCTGACCAACCCGCCATCAGACACCTTATCGGGGGTACAAAGGTATCTCCCATGGGAATATTCTCTCCATCTGCTCATCGTACTGAAATCACAGGCACATGTTTACTATGTTTTTGTCAGAGGTGAGGTGTCTCATGCTACAGTCAGCAGCTGTTTTACGTTGGACTTGCACAAGAAGACAAACTAGAGATAGGAGCTGAGAAGTGTGATAAGATGCAGATTAAGATCTGATCGCTGCATTAGAGGCTCTGTGGTCTCACACTGAGGTGTCACATCTTGATGAGGTAGGGTGGGCCGGATTAATCAGGCGAGATAAGATGAAAAACCGTAATAATGCCTCAAAGACAAATAACCTAGAAAATCAAAATGTATTAGGGAAAGAAATAGATAGTAAAAGCACATTATAAAACTATGAATAAAGTATATATGTTTTTGCTTAAGTGGATTAGTAGCATTCTTTACTATCAAGGATTTGAATCATTATCAACTGTGCACGGCCTAAGCAAAGGTGTTACATAATTTGGTTGTAATAAAGAGCTATACAGTAAACTACTGACCCTCCACCATCTCTTTTGTAAAACTTCTGCATGGGACATACAGAAAATGAAATCTGGAGTCATATGCACTCAGACACACTGGCACATCTCCCTCCATGATCCCTGGGTCAATACTTGAACCATTGTTCTATCTAGAGTCTAGAACAATGGTCATGAGTTATTGTGGTTTTGTTTAACCTGTGGATACATTGCCACCTAGTGGTCAAAACAATGTCAGCAGCGCAGCAAATCGTGTTTATTAAAAAGAGACTATGGACAATTAAAATAAAAAAAAGTCCCACATGTTCTTTAAAAACTAATACAAGCGTGTTTTAACCCACACATTATTCATCTTATTTTATTTTATATGTCGGTTTAAATCTCTGTCTTTATGGTCCCCGGTTTGAAACCACATAGGAACCATCATCTTTTGCTTGTTTCCTCAGGTGGAGGCGGACGAGTCGTTGAAGGGGCAAATCAAAATGGCGAGCCAAGAGGAATCTGTGAGGGAGTTCGTCGCTGTTACTGATGTTGATGAGGAGAGGGCCCGGTTTTTCCTGGAGTCCGCCGGCTGGAATCTGCAGGTACGTCTTTACTGTGCCTTTCCGTAGAGTCGCGAAGGAGTGTACTTTGGGCAATCCTGAGGAAACGGCGGTATCATGACAAGTGTCAGACCATTAGCTTGCTGGCTAACGTTAGCATGTGTTGCCGGTGATTTGTGCAAGTCACCCTTTGACAATGGCCTGGCCGCCTTCTGTCACTAACAACAAGGCTGTTTAAACCTAGTTAGCCGACACGGTCACGGTTACATTAAGGTCCTTTACTGTCGTCTCTTTATAAAGTAGGTCGCCGTTAAGTTTTGGCTAGCGCTAGTCTGTCAAGAGTCCATTGAGCCGCGCTAGCTAGCGTTAGCCTGTAACGATAAAGAGCTGTGTAAATGTTAGTTTAGTTAACCTAGCGAAGGACACTGGTTAGCTTATAATGCAGTAGTGTCGTTTGTCCCGGTGAAGCGTGTGTTAATGGTTAAGAAAATGGAGACAAACGCTTAACGTCTCTATTTCAGAAGTCAAATCCATAAGAAAATGAAAACGAATGACTGTTGTGTAGAGTTTTCTCACTCGGGTAGCGCCTTCGCTTTTAGACATTGAAAGAAAAAATAAATGTATCAGCTGGGAAACTGCGGTGTAAACATTTCAACCCGCTGTGGTTATTGACGAGAAAAGAGAGAAAAGGGAACCTCAGACGTAGAGCCAAGTTATCTAGCTCTTTCCTGAGATGTCAGAAAGGTCGTACATGACACTTGTTGCACAATTAATTAACTATCTGTCAGGATTGTGTTATGACATTGTCATAATAATTTTGCCCCCCCCCCAGCTCGCCCTCGCCAGTTTCTTTGAGGATGGAGCTGATGACGACATAGTGACGCTTCCTCAACCTGAGGGAGGCTCCTCAGTGTCCCGGTCTGCAGGGCCAAGGTAATGTTTTTTTATTAATACCACAGTTCAGTCTGATGAAAATTTAATGGCACACTCATTCACTGCTACAGTACTGGACCGTAGTTCTGTGCAGCAGTGTTCCCATCAGTCACCATCGTTGTTCATCATCATTATGATCTTGTGACATACAATTCAGTGCATGTATTTTTCTGTAACATCAGCTCTCAGCCCAGAGTGACCTCCTTCAGAGATCTGATGCATGAGGCAGAGGAGGAGAGTGATGAGGAGGAAGGCCAAAGGTGAGCTAAAGTTGCAGTATTGCCTGTTTATTTATCTGTAGTGAATGTGTGACCTGATGAAGAAAGAAGCCTAGATGGTGGAAAAGAACCACCTATTGTTTTTATTCACGATTTAATTGATCACCATATAGGAGATACTTGTCTGTTCTCCTTGAGAAACTGACAGATCAGGTTTAGATTAGTTATTGAAAATCATTCATGACCCTGGTCGGATTGAGTGTCATGCCCAAGGACACCTCAGAGTGGATCAGGGATTAAAAAGGACGCAGAGGCAAGTTAATAAATAAAGTCACTGCCCAGTGTGTGTTGTAACAGTAACCCTTGGATGTCTTTCTGATCCTCCTAAATGGCTGTGACATCCTGTACATCCTCACACTGTTTGGACGGTAGAAAGTCACACCTAGTGGGTGTGAATCCAGAATGCACCAAACTATTTTTGGTCTCATCTCATTCACTGTGGGCTGGTCGTTTCTGGTTTTCTGCAGCATCAACAGATTCTGCCACTGGAGCAGTGCAGTAGACTGCTTGTTAAAGGATTGTGTGGGTTTGCAAATGGCCTTTTAGTGTATTTCCATTTGCAGTCATTAAGCAAATTAAATGAAAAAACAGTCCTACAGAATGTATATTACATAGCTCAGGTCATTTTTGAGTTTGTTCCAAATGGGTTTCCTGATGTCATTTTTTTAAAATGTGCTGACTGTGCACAACTTGACACAATGTAAACAAGGGGTTACCTGGACATCTGCCATAAAAACAACAATGTGCTTGTGTTTTTTCCTTTAAAGTGCAGTATTCATGTTTTAATGACAAAGTGTGAGTCTGTGATTTTAGTGTAGTTAGCTTATCGTATTATTTTCTTTGTCTGGTAAGCACCAGGTCAGTATGCTTAAACTAAAGTGCTTGATAGTCAATTGAAATACTTTTACTCCCTACACCTTTCTGACATCAGAGCTGGAGAGGCTGAGTTCAATAATTTCTGTCACTTTCTGTAACTGACAATCTGATTAGCGTGCCCTCTTCATGCAGTGATTGGACAACTGTGTGGTGGCAAGAAAGTGAGCATGGTTTGAACTTCTTTCTCATTCTGCTTTTTACAATTCTCACTTACCAAAAGCTTGCTGTTACTTCCACTGGAGCTCTCTTTATGACAGGAAGCGTTTCATCCCACAATTGGGTGTGACCATTTGAAAACAGCAATGACAGCCACCACCTTTTGATGTGGCCAGACAAAACAAATTACTTTGTTCTGAGCATACTGACACCTTAATGAAGATCAGTGTTTTTAGTCATCTCACAGGCTGGACCTGTGATAAAATTATAAAACTTATGTTGCTGTTGAAGCCTTAGTTAATGACCATTGTCAGCACTCACCCTTCTCACAAGTGAATTATGTTATGTTATATTATATTATTATAATGTCTTCAGTGCACACAAATAAAAGGACAAGACATTAAGTTGGGACTGCATTAGTTATTACTTGGTTATATGCTGTAAGTAAGTGTTTTGCTGGATATTCATCTATCCATCCATCCATGCAGTAGGCATCAATAAAAGTTTAAAATATAGGGAGGGAGACTGATCTGATTATTACTGTGGGTGTACAAAGACAAAAGAAGGTGAGACTGTCCCCATCAACTTAAAATTGGCTCATTTACAGAGTTTCCTGATTTATTACAGGTTTTATTATTGTTTTTAAAGTAGGACAATTAAGTAATTAATTTATCACAGTGATTATAGAAAGTGGAACAAGCTGTGTATTTACACAGTATTTACTGTGCATATTTAACTTTGTTCTTCTTTGGTTTCTATCTTGATCTGATAAGATTCAATTCAGACTTGTGCCATGTTATACAGAATTGTTAGAGATCCAAACTAATAATATTATCACAGTGACTTTTATTGTAGAGGTGACTCAGGCACTTCAGACGGACAGACATGTAAAATTGCTATCACATTTATATAGCAAGGTGAATGTCTGAAAGGGGCTTCTACATCATGCACAATGAGCTACTCACTTCATAATAATACGGGCTTGACTTTGTAGATTTTTCATTCTGTTTTTCCTCAGTGTCTATAATGTCACATATTTTGTGGAAGAATTCCCTCTCCTGTCATTACAGTCACACTTTTCTATGTGCCCCTGCAGGTTTTTTGCAGGGGGGTCAGAGCGCAGTGGGCAGCAGATCGTTGGGCCCCCCAAGAAGAAGAGCTCCAATGAAGTGGTGGAAGATCTGTTTAAAGGAGCCAGAGAACATGGAGCTGTGCCTCTGGACCGGAGCGGGAGAGGGCCAGGCGAGCCCAGTAGAGCTAAGGTGAAAAGGAAGCACATGAGAACAATGTTGATGTCCTTTGTCCCTCTGCTCTTTCTGTATTGCCATCTTGTTTGTGCCTTTTTATAGCAGGTTCTTTCTGCAGAGTGTGTGTACTTTAATTTGCTTCTGCTCGCTTTTGTGTTTGTAATTGTCCTTCATCTTGGTGATCCTTTTATGTCTTATTTTGTTTTTTTATTATCACCTCTCATCACTTAGGCCTTCGTAGGTGGAGGTTACAGGCTAGGAGCAGCTCCTGAGGAGGAGTCAACCTATGTGGCTGGAGAGAGGCACGCCTCCAACAGCCAGCAGGATGTGAGTACAGATGCTGATGCCTCCTGTTTCCTGTATCCTTGGCACTATTCAGCCAGTCTAGGTGACTCTTCAGCCAATAAAAACCGATAACCCGACATTCACACTCACCTCATGCTATGCACCGGCCAGCGGTGCGGAGGTGAGAGAGGAGCTAGGCATTAAAGTCCTCTCTGCTGCTCTATTATTTCATTTGTTACTAAATGGTTTGTGGCTCTTTAAATGTGAACAACCGAGAGGAAGTGGAAAAGGGCCATTTTCCACATTTCTAAATGTCGTCTTCCTCTCCATGATGGCCCTAACTCTTAATGATAATGATTTTGATGACCATGTGTGTTAAAAGTTCTCTGTCTCCCACACAGTTCTTTCTGTATTGATGTAAACCTACTCAAATTGAAGCTGAGACGTGGCACTTTAATGTTGATTCTTTTCATTTATTTTGAAAATTCAGAGGCTGAAGAACAACGGATGAATTATTGTCCAAATATTTACAATCTGGACTCTGTGTAATGATAGGTGTCAAAGGCCTGACGGGCAACTCCTGCGTGAAATCCTTCTATAGACACGACTCTTTATTCTCATGTGCATTGATGCTTGTTTTTTGTTGCTGGATAGATGAAATCCCTCATGAACTGTTACATTTTCAGAAATGAAAGAACACAGTAACAGATGGACTATGATTAATTCATGGTTTTTCTAGGAGACCTGCTAATCATTAATCCAATACTGAAGGCATTCCTGCTCTCATGAGTGGAATTACATAACAGACTGTAGTTAGTGCCAGAAAGACTGACATGGCACTTCCCACGTCTGGACCTCTAATTATGTTGAACTTTGACGCTTTTCGGGTTTTTGACACATCAAACTTGATCTTAGTGGAAGAAAACCAATTTATGTGTTATTATCTTTGCAAAATATTAAGATGTAGGCCACGTAAAGCTGGTAACTCACAACATCATGGAGCCTGTCCTGTATTCTTTGGCATACAGGCTGCAGTTCAGCATGTATAAGGGGTGTTGAGGGCAGGGTGTACTTACAAGTGCTGGTAGCAGCAGCAGCAGCAGCAGAGAGGAATTGAGAATATGGGTTTGTACTAAACTGAGGGGAAAGCATAAATCAGTCACCACCCACACTGCAGAGAGCAAGTTAAAGTTTGTCACTGCAGTTCTTATATTGGAGCTTGTTATGCTGTGATTTTTGATTGCTAGTATTTAGTAAAGTTACATAATGTATGAGACAAGTGAAAGGCTGTGGCTATTTCCTGGATGAAGTACATGCCAGTACAAACCCCAGTACATACCAACTGAAATGTCTCATTCTGTGTGTGTGTGTGTGTGTGTGTGTGTGTGTGTGTGTGTGTGTGTGTGTGTGTGTTAGGTACACGTGGTGCTTAAACTGTGGAAGACAGGTTTCAGTCTGGATAACGGTGAACTCAGAAACTACAGCGATCCTGGAAATGCCAACTTCCTCGAGGCAATCAGAAGGGGGTGAGGATATTCTGCCAACTTCATCTAAGTTACACATGTGCTCATCATAGGTCCACGGGGACACACTATGTCCTCCGTCTTTATATGTAAATATGCCTACCAGCGTTTCTATGAGACTATGAGACACTGTTGGCTGCTTTACACATTTAGAGCACTGATGGCATGTGATAGCACCTGTTGGTTGTTACCTTGCAGGGAGATTCCCCTGGAGTTGAGGCAGCGGTCTCGAGGAGGCCAGGTCAACCTGGACATGGAGGACCACAGGGATGAGGACTTCTCCAAACCTAAGATGGCCTTCAAGGCCTTTGGAGGTGAAGGACAGAAGCTGGGAAGGTGAGATTGAGCAGTCTTGTTAGTTTATTGAACATGGTTTCCGTATTGTTTCTCCTCAGCACAACATTACACACCAAAGAGCCGCAGCTGAAATACAATGTCTAAATAAAGGCTGGTAAACCAGTCTTGCTTGTTCTACACGGAAATGAATCATCTTCAGTCTAGGAATCGACTCTGTGTGGGATCCTTCCAGTAAATGACTGGTCTCTAATAAAGCATATAATGTTATTTTTAGTGTAAATTGAGCAGATTCAAATCCCAGTAAACAGATTTAATGTCCAATTTGTACAATTCCAGTGATGCAGCAGTGCTCTTCTTTCACTTTCAGTTCAGGGCCCACATTTGTCAAACAAAAAGAATTACACTAAAGAGAAATCTCTAAAGACCTAACTTAGGAGTAAATAAAGCCTTTTGCTAAAAGTGAAGAATAAGACACATTAATTAAGCTGCTTACTCCTGTTTACAGAAAAGTGGAAGTCAATCTTTAATAGCAGCTCATTATTAATCACTCGTAGGCTCAAAGCAGGAAAACAGGGTATCTTAAAGTCTTTAAAAGCTCCGAATGCAGCTCTTCAAAAAAAAAAAAGGCCTTACAAGGTATTAAAAAGTTAAATAAAAAATTTAACTTACAAAGGTTGTGAGTATTTTGTCTTACCTGCTGTAGACAATAACATTAGTTAGAAGTTTTTTTGTATTTCATTGTGAGACCAACTAGTGCCAAAAGTGTCAGGATTTCTGCAGGTCTTAAACTAAGTAAGTAAATTCTGATCTTTTTCCTTCCTCTTCCTCATCCCCATCCTCCTCCTCCTCCTCCTCCTCCTCCTCCTCCTCCCGCCTCCTCTGCACCTCCCCTCCGCCTCCTCCCCTCTATAAGTGCCACCCCAGAGTTGGTTGTAGCTCCGGCCACCTCCCAGCAGGACCAGGCTGCCAACGAGGCCCAAGCCAGCGCCTCTGTGACCTTGGACCCCTCCCAGCCCGTCACTAACATTCAGATCCGACTGGCCGATGGCGGCAAGCTGGTCCAAAAGTTCAACCACACCCACAGGTAACTGAGGCGCTCTTTAACTTGAAGTTGGTATCTACACAAAGATGTGGTCTACCCTGTGTTTTGCATCATAGATCAGTCTCTGATAAAAGTGCAGCAACAAATGTATAGTTTGATTTCAGAGGCAGGGGAATCAACCTGTGCTTGTTTTGTTTGTAACAGCTGCTCAGGAAATCAGAGGTCAATAGAAAGGTTGTAGTGATAAAATGTTCTATTGAGATTTATACAGTAGCTGTGGAATAAAAACCCATACTTCTTTTCACCATGTATTGTTGTGTCTCTCAGGGTGTCTGACGTGCGCCAGTTCGTGGTAGCGGCTCGGCCCGCCATGGCTGCCAGAGAGTTTGTTCTCATGACCACCTTCCCCAACAAGGAGCTGTCGGACGAGAGCCAGACGCTGCAGCAGGCCAACCTCCTCAACGCCGTCATTGTCCAGCGGCTAAAGTGAGGGGGGGTAGAGTAAGGTCTATCCCTGGTGGTGTGGCTGAGTACTGCAGCCATGTGAAACCTGCTGCCCCTTCTGAGGGAGGAGAAAACACGGACTTATGTATGGACTTCTAATTTCTGATTTTTGTTTTTCTAAAGTGAAATGTAACATTCTGCTCCCCCAGACCCCCCTCCCTCCACTCTTACTCTACACCCCTGTGCGGTCTGTGACAGGCAGTAATCAGGGGGGAAACTAAAAATCTTCCAAAATGGAGCAGAGTTCTCTCAGAGTTCTGTAAAGCTGCAGATGCTGTTGGATTGCGGTTGTGATGGGGACGTGTTTACCTGACAGCAGGAGATGGTTTAACCCAAAAACACAGCAGCAGTCCAGCTTTTCTGACGAGCAGTTGGGTTGCAGAGATGCTCACTAAACCTGGCTCTATTTTTCATTAACTTGCTCCCCCACTTTTCCTTTTCTATTAACCTTCATTTGGCCTCTTAGCTACGTTTACTATCAGATGCTGGAGCCTCGCTAGACCAGCGGCAGATTCCCAGTTTGTTTCTGCCTCAGCAGCACAAACCATAACCACATTAGGAATACTAGTCTTATTAAATTAGAAGTACATGACAATAGTGTGGTTTTGTAAGTTTTTCTTTTCTCTCCCATACTCTTCTTGGAGAGAAAAGTGAAACAGTATCACAAAACACTGAGGGTTTTTTTTTTCTCCAAACCAACCTATACCAGTAGCCTTACTCTCCTTTATCGACCTCCACTAACACACTCTTCCCTTTGTTCAAATCAAGATGGAATTATTTTTTTAAGCTGCCTTTTTTTCTCCTTTCTTTTTTCCTTTACAGATTGTAAGATTGTCCCAGTTACACACTTTGATATTGTGTAACATTACAGCTACACATGGCTTTATTGTCAAACCAATGGTCAAACAAAAGAAGATATAGATTGTAAACTCTGGTTTGTAGTAGTGGAAGTTGAATTCCTATGACACTCTGACATCTTCTATGCATCCTCGGGCAACACAGAAATATGTTTGGACCTCTGGTAAAATAAATCCATTTTATGGTTGATGTATAAAGAACTTAATCGTCCTGTGTTTTTATTGTAGTTAGAGAAGGGGTGTTAAGCAAAGTGACAAACATGGAATCATGTGACAGTGAGAAAACCATCTCAGGCGTTGACTGTCAGTAAACCGTTAAGTAAACAGCTGTTACTGCTAACGTTGGCTATGTAGCACTAGCAAAACTTATATATAGCTCCTTTTAAAGTGATGATTAGGGAGAATCACAGTAACCTGAGCATCTTGTTACATTCATGCTGAATGCATCATGTTATGACATGGATCATTTCAAATTTTGAAACACTGCTTTTGCTGTGTTGCTGTTAGGATAAACTTTTTATCTTTTTATCCACTTAAAAGTTTCTAAAATTTCTTTGAAGAGTATGTACCCAAAAGAAGAGAATAGTTTGCTGCATCATAGCACATTAACCTAATAATCACCTATAATTTCCTCAGTGGAGACCTAAATCTTATTACGTAGTATTGTTATATAAAAAAACTTTGACAAAAAAGTTAAACTACCATTTAATGTCAACAGTGAACATCATAAAAAAAGTGTTATTTCTATATTTAAAACAAAGAGCTGCCTTTTACTTAATTATCGTTGATTGATGATCAGTTCTAGCTCCTTTTTAGGAGAATTATTCCTGAATAAAAACAGTATGATCTTTAATGCCAATATGCAAAAGAGTTGGGAGACTTTTTCCAGCCTTGAGCATCGTCTGCAGTCTTCTTCACAAGCTGCACCGAGCCCTGACAACCTCCACAAAGAAGGGGGGGGCAGCTTGTGTGTTGCCTGGAGGGAAAATCCAGGGCGGAAAAAGTGCACATCACCCACCACTGCTTGGAAAGCTTAAATTCTATAAGAGAATCGGAGTCCTTTGTAGTATATCATCCCTCGTTTTCACCACGTGATCTGTCAAAATCTTTCCGGCAGCTGCTTAAAATGTAAATTTTACTGATCTTGTGATACAACACAAAGAGTAATCTTTACATTTGACTTTAAAAACTGGCATGCAAACATTATTGCTTTCATGTGGTCACTTGTAGTTTACTGTGTGTTCTTATCTCCAGGAGACCGTGAGGGGAAACAGAGATAAAACTGATGTGACATGATGTGTAATGCCAGTTTCACGTGTCGGATCCTGTTTTGGATTCTTACAAGTGATTGTATCTCTTGGTTGAGTTTAATGTGAATAAGGCTAATCTATAAACTCTCATTTACATAAACATCTAGCCAAAATTGCTGGTGTATTTGGCTCATTTTTAAATTGTGTCCCTTTTTATCTCTGCAGTAAAAATTACCTGTTTATATTTTCATACATTTTGTCCTCAAAAGTGAACATAATACCTGTGTCAGAAATCTCATGGCAGTGCTCTTTCATGGAAGAAATATGACAGAAAAATGTAGTAGCACAGTTGCTGCACAGGTATTATGGGAATGCTTCAAGTTGACACCTTTGAGTATTGGTTAGATAATATAGGTCTTCTTCTAACATGTCTCTCCTTTTGGTTCTAGTTCGGCAGTTTTATTGGCTGAGAATGACTCACTGTGCTTTGTTTTGAAGAAGTCTGAGTCACTGGATACTCGGTGTCAATCCCAGTCATGAAGCAACCACTTGAAATATTTTTGCTCCTATAAATCTCATACTAACATGATTTGTTTTCTTCCTGCAGATTCATGTGTCTTGAACCCACATTCATCGCCTTGGTTATGCACACCCACATGAACACTCCATGGCTCTGGAGCAATTAGCTGTTCATATACAGTGAACTCTGCATAACAAAAATGCTCAGCTGCAATCTAATGAACCATGAGGAAAGTTAGAGTATACTGAAAGGCTAAAAGGTGGAATTTCTTTTTTTCAGTTAGAATGCAATAGAATATGAGTGGAAATTATATGCACCTGCTGTTATTATTTTCTACAGGAAGTAAGATGCAGGTGTTGCTATAGCTGCAGATTTACTGTGGCGATGTGAGCAGAGAGTATCCCAGTGTCTGCTGGGACAGTGGGATGCTTTGACTCAGCTGTTCACCTAAATTAGCACCATCTCTGACAGCCCTTCTCTCCGCCTGGCCTGCCTCACCCGCTCTCTTTTCAGTAGTTTTACACTGCAGTGTTCCACACACCGGCCTAAAGTAAACTGCAGTCAGGGCACTGTAATCTATGGCACTTTATGATGGCTGACTTTTTGTCATTTTTGAATATCATACTATATATATATATATATATATATATATATATATATATATATATATAAATATGACAATGGTTCTGAATTATAACGAATCAGTGAGATTTGAATTTTTTATTCACTGGATCAAACCATCAAACTTCAAATGTGGAAAAAAACCCATCACACTCACATTTAGGACAGTGTTACAATGTTCACGCTGCCTACCAGATATCAAGTTAGTCACAGATACAGCAAATACGCCATACTTAATGTGCCTTCAAAATAAAAGCATGTTTTTCACCTAATGCTCCTGTCAGAGCCCCAGAGGTGGAATCAAGACTGGATTACCAATCAGACAAAAGAGGCAACTCTCCAGGGGCCCTGAAAGCCCCGGGTTTACTACATATCATTTGGGTCGACATGATTCATTTGATTTAATTTGTTTGAAATTTGCACAATGGAAGTTGTGATGAAGTAGAAATCTTCTTCATCTGAATACTTATTCCAAAATAGGTCTTTTACCCAGAAGACATTTTGGTATGTCACATTAGAAAGGTGCAGATTCCATTCAGCTGCTTCAATTTCAATGTCCTGCTATTGTTCACACTGGCTCACTGTCTTGCTCGGACATTTGAATAGAACACAGCCATCATTAATGTTCAGATTAGTTTACTACATTTATTTTTTTACCAGGGACCATGTACAAAAACATATGCAAAGAAGAGGAGACCCACTGTACCAGATTAAGCTAACAGTTATATCAATAAATAATTTTCATTTGCAGACCCTTGACAGGTAGGTCATATTATATTATATTATATTATAATATATTATTATATTATATTAACTCATACATGGTATATGCTATAATTATGATTCACAACTTCCAAAACAGAAATCTGGCCAGATCCCAGTCAGTGTCGCAGCAGGTGTTCTCAGTCAGCGGTTAAACACCTGCAGTGATGTTACTGATGGGCGTGTGCCTTGCAGTACAGCATGTTTAATGGTAACTGGCTTGAAAGGCGTTTCTGAGATGTTCGATGAAAGTGATTATCTCTTTATAACTGATTCAAATGCACAAACAAGCATTTGAGAGAAGAACTTCAGCATCACAATTGAAATCTCCCCTAATCCCCTACCTACCAAATGGGATTATTACTTTCTTAATGTCTATGATACACTTTAATCTAGTACTGAGCCAGAATCAGTTCTCCAGTTGTTTTTTGACTGTGCCTCCTTGTTCTGTACAGATATAGAGACATTTATTTTCAATAACACTGCGTTCTCTGAAATTTTACCAATCCTTACAGTATATAAAACTCTTTTTGATAGACTCCTGACGGCAGACCATAATAATAAGTGTGTTTACATTAGTGTGTTATGGGTTGTTCTTGTAAGCCCCCTGAACAGTTGTAACATGTATTTATTTTCCTTTAACTTATTGTTTATTTGATTAATATTGTACTATTATTTCTAAATATTATCCCACTTTATTTATAGAATCTTGTTTATATTTATATTTATATAATTTTGGAAATAATTATTGTTATCTCTATGGCCGCCGGGGGGGGGGGGCATGTACTTCTGGCTGAAATCCCTCTGTGTGGCTTTTACTTTGGAGGTGGTGGGCGGAAGTGTTGTTGTGTAACATGAGAAATTGATGCTGGTGTCCCTGCAGGGAGTGAGCGCGAGAGAGAGAGAGAGAGAGAGGGCGAGAGAGAGAGGGAGAGAGAGAGAGAATATCCGCTGGAGGAGCAGACAGACAGACTGCGGGAGGAGTGTTGCCGGGTGCGGGGAGAGCTCCAGAACACGCCACTTAAAAATGGGAGTCGAGATCGAGACTATAACCCCGGGCGACGGTAAAGCGACTGCACAAAAGGGAAACGTGTTTGTGTTAATTTCTAGGTGCATGTTTGCACTTCTCTGTTTGCATGTGTCTTATACAGCCGCAGAAAACACCGCCTTAATTGCATACGCCCGTTATATTAAGCGCCTCTTTGGTTTCCCCACAGGAAGGACTTTCCCCAAAAAAGGACAGACGTGCGTGGTGCATTATGTTGGTGAGTTTTAAATAAGAAACTTGTTCTTCTGCATGCATGGACACATCCTGCACATTTCGCTACTCCAGTTGGGCATTTCTACTAATGAAGGCCGTGCAAGTGGAGTGACGGCTGTGGGCAACTGTCTCCTACACCCGTATGATAAACATCCAGACATGGTAATCCTGTAAGTGTCACAGCAAAAACTGTAAATCCTCACAGGAACATTAGGTTATGGTGATACTACAGTACACATCTAAACGCTGTGCAGCGCGTTAACCTCTGCCAGCAGACATGTTCCAGCCTCAAACCTTCCAGGCAGTGATTTCTCAGTAGGGCAAAGAGGCAGAGGCTGTCAGTCACCGACTGGGCTGCATGAGGATTTAACCCCTTCACCACATTTTCTCTCCCTGGAAGCACATTTGTCTTCAAGATATTCGGAGGTGATTATGATCCTGTAGCAGCAGCAGCAGTGGTGGAGGTGAAGGTGGTGGTGGTGGTGGTGGTGGTGGTGTGTCGCGGGGACAGCGCTCCGGATTCATCACTGCGTAAAATAATGCGCGCTCCAGTTTGGGCCAAGCGCTCCATTACAGTCTCATCAAGATCAGTGGATAATGTGGTCATTTGTCTTGTCTGGAGAGAATTAGGGGGGAATAAAGGAGACGCAGACGGATTCCGCCGCGGGGTTCACTCAGAGGCCCAGACAGACAGACAGACAGACAGACAGACAGACAGACAGACAGACAAACAGACAGACAGACAGAGACAGATCAGACAGCGGGGTTTTAAATCCCGTCTGATTTCCTGCGCTTCTCTGTCTTTGTTGGAGTTTCTGGGGGGGTTGGTGGCGTTTGGCTGAGCGGATTATGATCGTCTGGGCAACAGAAATAATGGCAGACTCACTGTATTAAACATGTAATATTTTCTCCACAGGCACACAATATTCTAATGGCAATAAATATTTCAGGTATTCCCACGAAACCTCCTGTAAAACATCTCACTAAATTATTCCTGTAGAGACTCATAATATCAGTTGTAGCTTTAGATTCTTAATACCTCCTTTGTGTCATCATGATACACTTAAAAGGGCCAATAACACAGGATTATATCTGGGGTGGGAACTAATGATTATTTTCGTTATTGATTAATGTAAGGATCATCTCAATTAATCAGTTCATTATTTGGTTAGTTTAGTTAGTTAGTTAGTTACTTATTTGGTTAATAGTGTGTCAACAAATAAAGGAAAAGCCCATTACAATGCTGCAGAGCCTCTTAAAATGTATTGTTTTGTCTGATTAACAGACAATAACCATAGACCTTCTACAAACACAAAGATAAAAGAGTAGAAAACCAGAAAATATTCATCTTTCAAAAAATGGAATGTGATTTTTTTCTATTTTTGTGCTTAAAAATTATTAGAAGGATTAATCAATCATCAGTGTAGTTGCTGACTAGTTGCTTTGACTAATCGATTAATCAACTAATCGTTTCAGCTCTAATTATTTCCTAACAGGACCAAGTGTCTGCAGCCAAGCTAGCTGGATCTAAATGCTAATGTCTGCATGCTAACATGCTCATAATGATAACATGTTAGCGTTCAGCAGGTATGATGTGTAGCACACTCACTTTCCTAGTTTTGTGTGTTATCATACTAACATTTGCTAATTGTCAATCGCTAATTGCTGATGGGAATGCAATTAGTTTTGCAGGTATTTAGTCATAAACCAAAGTACTGAACAAACAAAATTTTGAAATGATTATGGCGTTAGTGGAAAAGTCAGAGGATCAAGGGAAGTTGTCACAATTCAACCTGAGCTGGACGTGAATTTCATGGCAATCCATCCAATAGTCACTGAGACATTTGACTCAGAATCACAAATGTCAAGCTGTTCATGGTGTTAGTGGTCAAGCGATAGCTAAAGTCATTAGCATTCATCCTTTGGGGACCATCAATCAATATGTCATGCCAACCAATCCAATAGTTATTGAGACAGACACTGTCTGGTGCAAAGACCGACTGTCAGACAGACATTGCCGTTCATAGAGCCAGGCCGCCAGCATTAAATGTATTAAAAGTATTACAGTGTAAATACAGTACTAACAGTAACACATGTAGCATCAGCAGCTAATTGGGATTTCAGATGGCTTTTGCTTCCCAGCGTGCTTAACTGTATATTTGTCTGCACCTGTTCTTGGTTTGGCAAAGCTGGTCTCAGCCTTCTTGCCTGGTAAGACAGACATATCTATCTCTGTAATACAAGCCTCTTTGCTTGAATATAAACTTGAAATGAGACCTGATTCGGGCTTTGCTCAGTGAAATGTTTTTTTTTTTTTTAAATTTCATTTTAGGCATGAGCCTGCATTGTTTTGGTTTTTTTTGTTTTTTTATATCACACAAACTACAGGATTTCCTCTCTGGGCGGCCTCCCTTCCTGTCAGCCTACAAAGCAGCCTTTAAATGAGACATGAAACAGGATAGTCTGTTACACAAGCCTTTTTAAATGTAGACGTACAAGGGAAGATCAAAACCTGGATTTGCTGGATTTTTTGGAAAGGCTCTGCCTGCAGGAAATGGTTGATGTGAGAAAATGTCAGCACTGTGTTGTTCGGTGGTGAGATGGGAAAAGCAACGTATTGATGCTCATTGCCTTTGATACTTGGACAGTACCTTTCAGCTCTTACAGATAATTCCATTAGGCTGCTATCTAGATGTCCAGAAGAGGACAGGACACCCACTCCACTGCTTGGATTAAAGGCTGTATCTTGCCAGACGCCCCCCTGATGTGCCTAACGACATGCCCAATGTTGCACCTTCTCCCACACACACACACACACACACACACCACACCACACCAAACCATCACACACACATGCTGCCTTGCTGGTGCTAATAACAGTAATAGCGGCGGCGTAAATAGTCTTGGAGGGGTGCTATTCTGCGGACTGATGGTTGCGTTTTCCTGACTGTCACACTGAAACCCACCCCGCAGACAGCTGCAGCAGCTATTTCTGAGATCCTTGGAATCCCTTCATTTGCGCTCTCAATATACACACAGCAGGGAAGATGGATGTCAGACAAGCCGGGAAGATCCATTTGTTTCCAGTGTTATTATATTTAGGTTTTATCTGCACAGAAAACAAGTATTTTCCCATCATTTTAAACAATTTTTGCAGCAGGAATTCCTCTTAGTGATGACTCCTGTAACGTTGTGCACGTTTAGAGGTAAGAGTTTGGGTTTTTCATCCACAGAAAAAAGACTCTGACATTGTCCTCTCTATTCATCTCCTTGTTCGCAGGCTCCCTGACAGATGGACGCAAGTTTGACTCATCCCGTGACAGGGACAAACCTTTCAGGTTCAAGATCGGCAAGCAGGAAGTCATCCGAGGCTGGGAAGAGGGGGTAGTGCAGGTAGGCTGGAGAACTAGAGGCATACTGTGCAAATGAAATGCACACTTCTTTTGATGAATCTAATCGTTACAAATAGATTGAAGGAAAAAGTCATGCCACTAGGCAGCTTCACCAGTCATGATTCAGAGGCAGAAATAATGTAGATTGCAAAAAAGAAAATGTGTTTTGCTGCTGTTATTGTTATTATTTTATCTGCTGAAATACGTTAATTTATTGACATGGTACCGTTATCGAGTTTTCACTCACTGAGGTTTCCATTAACTCTGCAAACATCGGGCCTATACAACATGGACGCAGCTCTATGTCTCACACACACAGCATGTAGATGAGGTGGCTGGTGAACGGTGCTGCCTGTCTGAAGGTCCTGTAGCTTCAAGATGGTGTAACTTCATGAACATCACTCTTCAATATCTGAGCAAGGCTGTTTAAAAAGCTGTTGATGACAGGATTAGATTAGAACTAATGAAGCATCATTAGTAAGTGAGATGTTTTCACCATTACTTTCAGAGTGTGTATGAACCAACTAACTGTATTTTGTTGGCCAGACTACCTGTTCCATGACGCCTGTTGTCTCTGTTTGTATCGTCTGCCTCCTCCTTCCTCCAGATGAGTGTTGGTCAAAGCTCCAAGCTGACCTGCTCGCCTGACTACGCTTATGGAAACAAAGGTCACCCGGGCATCATCCCTCCCAACGCCACACTTATCTTTGACGTTGAGCTGCTGGGTTTGGAATGAAACAAATCTACATCCTATTTTTTGTGTTGTGTAAGTAATCTCTTGGTTTCTTCTCAAGGGCCCAGTTACACCAGAAATGCGTCAAACAGGTGGTGACAGAGGTTCGGTGAACTACTGTATTGTAGTGTAGCCATTTCTGATGAGCTAACAGCTAACACACTCGCAAGTTGGGAGCAGGCTAAAGATAGTCAGTCCCAGTAGCTGTCTGAGTATTTTTCTGTTTTCTGTGCTGCTTACTCCTTCTCGTTGTAATTAGATGTAAATGACACAGATAAAACTGGCTATTTAAAGGAGCCTCTTGACTCTGTGTTGTTGTGTTGCTTGGAGGAGGGATGGACGGAGGGCCTGCTTATAGCTTCTATTTCTGAGCTGTCAGTCATTGTTTGGATAGAAACAGAATATATGTACTGATCTGTCATACAGTTATTTTGTACAATGGCTAACTAGCTTGTTTACCCAGTGCATTGTTTCCCAGTATATGATGACTTTGTCACTCTAACGGGACACATTGATATGAATTGATAACATCTCTTATGAACTGGCAAAGTTACACAGCTAGCAGCAGCATTTACCTACTGACAGAGGGAACCAATAAACTTGCACTTAAAAAAAGGGAAGATGCTCTCCAAGCTAGCAAGTTTGCAAGAGAGGAAGAACCATTGTCCTGTCCCACAACCCAAGCTAAGCTAGCTAGCTTTTCTCCATTTTTGACTCTCTATTCCCAAAAAAGTCAGCACTGTCAAGACACTTTGCTTTTGGCAAGTTTGCAGTAAATATGCATTTCGAATCTAAATGGATTTTCTTATTTCCAAAGCCTATAATAGTTGTTGAATTATACATTTCCTCCCTTTCAGGCAGTCAGTGGTGTCCTTTAATTTCACTACAAAAAGAAAATCAACTTGGACAGACTTGTTTAGATTGATAATCACAGTGACTGTTTAATTTCCTGTTTTTCCAGCATTTTGAAGTTCCTAAAGTTCCTAAAATGTCATAATGCAGCACTTTGACGTTCAAAGTCAAACATGTTCTCAAAGACCTCAAAGATTTGAAATGGAAATTTTTAGAGCTTATAATATTCATATGCAGACTAACTTTTCATCACCAAAATCATGTCTGTGTGATGCACATTAAGACTATTAGGACCTCATCGTCACTATTCAGACTTCACTCATCAGGAGCATAGCCTGCTATCTAGCTAAATCTACATTTTTTGCAACATCCTACATCAGCATCTGCATTTAATCTGTGTTGCCTGTTTGTTAAACAAACCTAGGAAGTTTTTAGTTCTGCCTTTTAGCTGCTACACATCCATTGTATTTTTACTTTTAGCGAAAACACCTCAAACAAATTACCTGCATACTAATACATTATTGGCCAAAGACGATGTTTTTGGTGCCAGTCTGCTCATGTCAGTCTTGAGTAAAGTCAACACTGGACCAAACTCTCAGAGAGTCAGATTAAGTAGAGATTTAGTATCTGTGTGATTTAACTTACTTTACTTGTGCTTCATCCCTGAATTCTCCCTCTTGCTGTCTTCACAGGTGACTACTTCCTACCTGGGTGACCTGGAGAGAGAAACTAGGAGAGTCTGCACTTGATTCTATAAGAGGCTTGAGTCTATAGTTCCACTACTTCTTTCATCAAACTATGACAGTTTGTGTTCTTTTGTCTCTGTGACTGAGTTAATTATATTTTTTCCATCATATTCTTCCTCCTAAAAACTATGGGCCATAACCTTACAAACCTCCATGTTCTTAATCTTGAATTCTTTTGAACTTGCGCTTTACTTTCTTCTTTGTTTTTTTTGAAGTGCTGGTTGTGCATGGTTATGCCGAGAAGTACAGAATACCAATGAACCACAAACAGCGACATTTATCATAATGAGTCAACATATAATATTTAAGAGCTGGTGCTTGTTATATTACAGAAACAACAAAAAAAAAGTGTATAAAAGAAAATGAAAAGCACACATTTGTATCCCTTAAAACCAGAACAAACGAAATGAGATTCTGTTAGAGAAAAGGCTTAGGGGCTGAATTTAGTGGAGCCGTTAATGGTGCAACACAGGGACTGAGTTTACTACATAAAATGCCTGTTTCTATATAGTGCCACTGTGTTTTCTTTTTCATTTAAATCGTTAACCGAAGTTTGAGCTCCAGAGAGGTAATTGGCGCGAAGGAGAACCAATCACAGTTGTAGGTAGTTCTAATGTGTGCCTCAATATTCTCACCAGACACATGGTTACTACTTTGCCCTGTCTGCATGTTCTAGGCCCGATTGGAAATCTTAGTACGTAGATGTTGAACGCTTTGCATCTGATTTGCATTATTATTATTATTATTATTATTATTACTATTATTATTATTAATAATATTATCGCCTTCTCATCTCACCAAGTCTTTAAACCCCATTTAAAGCCATACACAGGTCGAACAGTGCAAAGATAGGATTTGTGGTGATGCACATCAATTGGAGTTTATTATTTTTTTGTCTTAGAAAAAAAAGGGAAATGCTTGAAATTTACAAAAGGGGGTTGAGGAATCAATCAAATTGTGACCTCCCCCAACCTTATTTTGTGTAACAACTTCAATCGTGTATTTTTCAGATGCCAACTTTCTATCTCTGAGAATCAACAAAGCTAATGTATAACCTATGATGATAGATAATGTGCTTCTTTTTTTGTAGTTTTTTTTTTCTTTTCTTTTTTTGCCGGTGTCAGTAAAGTGCCACGCTGCCTAACTGAAGTCTGTGTGGTTGTAGAAAAAAAAAAATGCTGACACACAGGCATCCAAGTGGTTTTGTATCTCAAATAAATAGTTTTAAATGGAGTTTAAATGAAGGAATATGCTGGCCTGGCTGTCAGATAATTGACTGTGGCTGTCGATGTTACATATTGGCCAAGCTGCAACTGGTGTGGCAGCAGTCCACCTCTGTACTGTGTAGTTATGTGCTGATACGTTACTGTATGCAGGCTAAACCAATGATGACATATTTAAAATAAAAGAAGTGCTCTCCACCTGCCTATGAAAGTGTATTTTTTTTCTCCTATTTTCTCTCTACTAAACTACATATTTGAGTTATTAAAATGTATATTTCCCCTGTCAAAGTTTTGCATTAATGAAAAGCTGGTGGTGTGGTTCTGACACTACTTGTGTTAAAATAAATAATTACAAAAACAATATACACGTGGATTGGGAGATATTACATTTAGTCAGATCCGAACCAGGGATGTTGCAGTACGCACCTTGCACATTCGGCTATCAGGATGTCCCTGAGATAAAGATTTTACATGAAAAAGTGTTATCATCAAAGAAAAAGAGATTAAAAAATCCAATGGGACCAGGGCAAATGCCCTTATTCCTCTCCCTCTTCATTGTGCCATATGCCTGAGCACAGAGAGACTGACTACTACTCCTCTGCTGGGACACCAACTGGCTTCAGGTTTTCTGTCTGCCAAATAGTTTTAAAGTCACTTTGATCAACAATAACTTTATGTAGGGGAATGCACCATGTGAGCAGAATAAACACCAAAATTAAGTTTCCTGTTAGATTTTGACAGGATGGGGCAACAAAGATTAGATAATGATCTAGGACTCACCTTGGCTGATTGTCCAATACAAATATGCAGATAAGCAAATTACATATAACCAGCGGGCTTTTGGTGTGAGGTAACAGGGAAGTTGTCCACTTTGCCTAATAGATGCACAGTATCACTCAGTGGTGAAGTCCATTTACCCCAGTATGCAGGATTTACAGCCGTACTCCTTTCTGTGCATTACAACTGTATGTCCTTGGCAATTACTCTGTTCTGAGTCAAATATAAAGCACTGGCTATTTAACTAAAAAACATTTTTAACATAAATTGGATTCTATTGCTTAAAAATAAAACTTAACCTTTATATGAGTTTAATAAGTAACTCTGTGCCCCTAAATTTCATCATTTTGGGGATAATTAGTTCAAAGGGGTACATTTACATGAGCCACACTAGAAGGTTACCTCTGTACATGATTTACATAATGGAAAAGTTGGACTTGAAATTTGCATTCTGTACTGCATAGATCTGGTGTTATCAGTTATAAACTTTGTAGTTTTAAATCAGTATCCTTCTAGGAATGGGACTTTATGATTCCTAGATATCTGGAATAAACCAACCAAAGAAAGTACACTAAAAATAAACAATACTACACAGTGCCCAATATTAAATGTAATAGAGAAATCAGAGGTTCTCAGGAGCTCAGTTAAGAACCGATACCTATGGCAACTGAGGTAGACAAACATGGAGGCATTCCAGTAGAACAGGCTTTATGTGATCTTGAGGGATGAATGCAATTTTGTGTATCATCATCTTATGTACAGTGACTTCGGCTGAGCAGCTGATTGCTTGGGAAAAAAATCCTGATTTATTTTTATGGCTTTTTAATGAGGGGATTTTTCTGTAAATTACATCTTGGAATGCGATCATCAAAGTTGCTGTTGCTGTCATGTGTCTTGTAAGGCCGTGGTGCAGGAAACTTCAGTCAGTTATGAAAAAATAACCATTAGGAATAGTTGGAAGCCATAAATCTAATGAAAGCAGTCCAGTGTTTACCAGGCAGTGACTATAAATAACTGTTCCCCACGTTTACAGTTATATCTTTAGGGCATTGTAAATATTTTTGGTATTACTTACAGTCCTTTTAATATAGCAAAGGCTGAGCAGAAGACAATGTTACCACATACATTTGGCCTGGTCCCTTACCTGAAAGGACCCTTACCTGACCCCTGACAGAGACCAACAACACAACACAGGGGGAACCAAAACAAAAGCTCAGTCTTGCTGAGACAAAAAAATAGCCACTAGATTATGCGGGGCCATGATGGTTAATCATAAATTCAGTTTCTTCGGTGTAAAATGGTCCCAATGAATCACATCTCATGTGACCGATACGAGGCGTGACTTATAGCGTCAACATTGATTGACGTGGTTACCATGACCAGGAAGCCAGAAGTGACATCACTTTCCAGAATTCCCCTTCAGTACCGTCTCAACGACGAAGAAGAGCAAGAGCGACGCTGAAAACAAGGAGTGAGCAACTGTCTGTGATTCCCACGCTAATCTAACAACCAAGACATTAAAGGTGAGAGTGTCTATACCAAAACCCTTGTACCAAATCCTTGCTAGCAGTCGCTAACTGTTACATCCTGGTTTCGTTTACCTAACAAGCTAACGTAACGGCTAAGGTTAGCTCTTCGCTTCCCTGCTGTTTGTGTCGGAACAAAGACGCTCTGCTTAGCAACTCAGCTAGTTTTGTCTTTATTCATATACTTTACACTGTGTTGTAATTTCACCTAACTGTTAGCTAGCGTGTGACTATGGTGTTTATCTGTCTTCCTGAAGCAGCTAACAGCAGTTGGTTATTTTTTTTTTTAATGACAGTGAAGTGAGGCACCGTAACGTTAGCTAACGGTGATTTGCAACGTTTAATGTCGTAACTTCAAATCATTTAGAAAACATGATGGAGGCACAGCTGTAAAACTACCTTAAAATTATGCACGGACTTTTCCCTCATTATTAGATGATTCAGGAAATGCCTAATCTATTATAATTAAGCTAAGGTCTATTAAGCCCTACGTATTATGTCTCAGCCATATGCAGTTGCTGTGTTATTATAGCGTTAATAGCGTATTGAGCCTTTTTATAAAACATTACAGCATGTTAGCTGTGTGTAACATCTGAACCCATGCTACATAATGAGTCCCATTCCATATGTACAGTAGAAAGGGAAGGGTGTGGGTCAGTTTTTTTCCTATTACCGTTGTCAGTCCTCCTCCCTCCCTCACCCCGTCTCTTTCCCAGCCATGTCAATAGACCGGAATAAGCTGCCAAGAAGACCTCATTCTTGTATCTAACCAATTCGTTCAGCCTTACTGAAGTTAGCCCTCTTTTTCCTATCCAGTTTCCACCAAAGCTTTTGGTTTTCTAGCTACATACTTTGAGGCTGAGTAGCAATGAGCACAACAGTTGAACTGCTCTAAGTAGGGGAATGCGTTTGTGGGATACTTGCCAAACCTTTAATCACCATTTATATTACTGGGTATATGCAAGTGTTGGAAATTTCCCTTTACATGTCAAATAATCTCACTTGTCCCCTTCATCTGAGCTGCAGTTGCAGAGGTGACTCAAGGATTAGGTTATGTCATTGCTAGAGCTGCCTAAACACTAATTTTTTCCAGGCTTATTCATTTATAACTCCAGCCTGCAAGTCCAAACGAGGGGGGGGTATAAAGGGAGCAAACAAACACAGCTGAAAAGTAAACACTAGAAGGTATTAAAATGCCTCTTTGTGTCCACTCACACAATGATGCACTTGTCTGCAAGGACTAAGAATATCAGAATAGAGTAGTGGCTGGAGTAGCTGGGAGAGTGAGATGTGGCAGTAATGTGATTGTGGTCAGAATAATTTGGTTAGTTTAGGGAAACATTGCATTTTCCACTTACTGGTGTCAAAGTTAATGTTTGACCACATATCCTACCATAGTGTGTGTGTTGACATATCAGTGTAAAGTTGTATTTGTGATGGTTTACATGCTTTAAAGGAGCTATATGTAAGTTTTTGCTATTGCTGCATAGCAAATGTTAGAATTTAAAGCTGTTTACTTACCAGTCTAGAAGAAACTTTGTGAGTTCAGCATCAATTTTCATTCCTTTACTCACCAAGAGCTGTCAAGAGCAACACCCATGTTGACTCTTGTTTTGCTTCTATGTCTATCACTTCTTTTCCTCTGCTGAAGTTAGCATGCTAACCAGCTAGCTCTGGCCCATCCGGCCTGTCTCTTCACGTAGCGAGTCACTGTGACGTCTTGCCTTGACAAAGTAGTGCTGCATATCCTAACCTTTCGTTTTGTAAACACAATGATGGCTGGAGCTCCTGGCAAACAAGCATCACCATCACCCGCAAGAAACCGCATTTGGTGACAGAGGAAACTCAAATATAGCCCCTGTTCATGTAACCAACATCGTAGATTACTACAACAGTGTGACGCAAAGGTGGAACTACACCACATGGGCAGTGCAGCACCTGGATAATTAGCGGTGCGCATGTGCCAGGATTTTATTGTTCTATTATCAAAGCTAGACATGCCTGTAGAATTGATTGGCCTTGGTGGAGGTATGAGCTCTCTTGAGTGCCATTCTGGTTTTTTATATTACTGACTCCTCACTTTGTCTGTTCCTTATTGAGTAAGAGATGTGTCCGCATGTCTTGTGATGGTGACACAGTTGTCACAGTGTGGTGAAGAAAATGGGTGAGAAATCAGTGATGCTTCTGTCATTAAAAACATTTTATCATATAAAAGTAGAAGGACTGGAAAAACTAAAGTGCAATCAGTTTGTGTTGTAAGATTTTTTTTTGGCAGTTTTGTCTTTATTTTAGAGACTCATCAGTCAAAAACGCTGGATTGATGTCTTTGCCAATAATGACTTTCTCAAGTGGATTGTGTATTGGCCATGATGTGACCAATCCACATTAAATATAGTTTGTTTGTCACTGTAATGATTAAATTCAGATTCAGCCATTCAGTCATGATGGGTTGGTGTTGATGTCCCATGATGGGACCAGCTCTGTTTGGCTTCGTATTACCTTATATCAAAATGACTTCCATGCAGTGAGATATACAAATTTTAAATTCAAATTCAGTTATAGGATATGACCAACATGGAGAGAGTTGAAATAGAAACATGAATAATGTTGTGCAAAATAAGAAGAAACAGACCACTGAGGTCATATGTTGAGTAGACTTACCTCTGGTATTGGATTGGTAGTAAGTATTAGAACATTGGTACTGGGATCTGTGTCAGGAGTAGAACTGAAATGGTTAACAGGGAGTTGACATGCAGCAAAGGTCTCCAGCTTGAATCAAACATGGTTGTTTACATTGTATGTGCCTTAGGATTTTAAATGTCAACACCAGATGTAATAAGTGTGCTTGGGAAGCAGCCACTACCTTCTTTTTTGTTTGAAATCACTGCCGACAACAGGACACAGAGACAAATATGAGCATTACTGCATATCAAACACTGCATTGCTGCATGTCTTGGCTTGTGTTTGTGTACTGTGGGCATAATGTCAGTCAGCTGACTGACTGTTATCTTTCGTTTCCTCTTCCCTCTTCAGGCTGCTGTTTTGTTTACATGCTATGGTAATGGATTTTTCTGAGTCTAGGTTTGGTTAGAGCTTAATCATAATTGGGTTACAACATGATGGGATTCTGAGAGCCATTAACTATTGCATGTGCTGTATTGTTTTTCGCTCTGCCCATGTTTACTTATGCATTGTGTTTCTACAGCTTGCACAGGTCACCTGTATGTACAGGTCCAGGTGTTTGTCAGTGTAATGTCATTATTTGAACTTCAACAGAAATCTTTGTCATGAAAACAGTGCGGAAGTACAATTACACAATGTAGTTGAGCTAATTCTGCCTCTGTTCACTTCTCAGCTGGGACTTTGGTCCAGATGTTCGTCATTCACAGCAATAAGTCAATATCAAAGTCATCACGCACATACACCTTAAGTCCACCCAGTATGAGAACAAGATTAGATAAGATGAGGTGCTTGGATGAAATGATGTATTGTCACAGAGTCATGACACATATCAGAATAAGTGCCCCTATTATTTCCATTGTGCTTTACACACACTAACAGTGTCTATGCACGCACCCGTCCATTAGCTCATGTGTCGTGGCACTTTGTGCTCCTGTTTTATCTCTGGATCTTTGCTGCCAATGCTAAACTGTGTTGTTTATGAACAAGTGTACTGCATACTTAGATTACCTGGACATTGGATGGCCTCATCTTAAATATATTTGTCACTCTTTTATTTACAAATGTAACTGTTCTTAGGGTTGGGAATTATGCTGATGTATGTTGTGAGAAATCTGTCCACAGCTTCCAGAGGTTTAAGAAAATAAATTCTGTCATGATATGCCAATAGTTTACATATCTTTCCCACTCATTGTTATACCATAATTATTATGGTAACATTTGTAAGTAAATTCAACTAAGGCTAACAAGTATTTTCATTATTGATTAATCTGCAGATTGTTTTCTCCGTTACTCGTTTTGTCTATAAAATGTCACAAATGTCAGTCCCTTTTTTTTTGTTCATCCAACAGTCTGAATCTTAAACATATTTCATTTAATATCACATAAGATAAAGAAAAGCAGTAATTCTCGTTTTGAAGAAGCTACCAGAGAATCTTAGACGAAACGATTGATCAGTTATCAGAATATTTGCTGATTAATTTTGTGTCACTTGACCAATCCCTTCAGCTCTAAAATCAACAGTTCCCAAGAGCATAGTGTTCTACCTGTTTTTTTACCACTTATTGACATTTCAGTCTTCTTACGTGATATGTATTTACTTGCTTGAAAAATGGTTATCTGGCAAATGTATATCAAGCATTGTGTGTTGTTGTAGCTGTGCTGCCAGCCCTTGAGCAGGATGTGTGGCTCTCTTTGGCTGACAGTTTGATTTTCTTCATCAGTCACTCATTTATTTCATCTCTGTGCCATTTCATGTTGTTTTGGGTGAACAGCATTTCTTTTGGTTTTAGTCTAGAAAACCACAACAATGAACTGCATATGGCTGAAAGCTGCACACAGCTACAGCGTTGGTTTTAATGATCAGTGGAGAGTCCAAGTGGAGATTCAATGTTAATATAAAATGTAGCTTAATGGAGTTTAATGGGAATAGATTACATTAAGGTAAAATGAGGATATCCAGGTCAGCAGTCTGGGGAGGCATACCAGCTGGGTTGTTATCTTATACAGCCACGCTGTCCTCCTTTTCCCAAGGTCCTCCACTCACTGCTGTTTCTGTTTTCTCTTTAGGATGTCTCTGTATCCATCTCTCGAAGACCTGAAGGTCGACAAGGTCATCAAGGTGAGTGTGTTGCGACGAAACATCTTTAGACAAAGACGTCTACCTGAAGATGATGAATTCTGTTGTCTGTTGTATTCTATGCTATATTTTGAACGAAAGGGGAATTTTACACATGATGTTCAGTATAATCACTGTGAGGAGTCCTTACCACAAGCCTCTTAAAACAGCTGTAAAATCTCTTCTGTAAGATAAAAAAGTAACAAAAATGTAATAAAAAGTGCTATGTAGTAGCTTTATGGGAACTGAAGCATTTTTGGAAGTGGCGCTTGAGTCAGAGTATCCTGGCCTCAGGCTGCTTTGATTTTGGCCATTGTTTGTTTAATCTGTCCTTTGTGAGCCCCCCAACTTACTGGAAGTCAACATAAATGCTGTGAGTCCTATATCATAGAGTATCCTTTTAACTTTGTCATTTCAGTATCCATTGGCATGTCATTGTCTTTTATATTGCTTAGGCCCACAGTACACTGTTTAATTTTGAAGTGCATGGAGGTACTCTGATAAAACGATTTTGAGGCTTAAAAGATTAAAAAATAAATAAATAAAAAAAGATATGTATTTCTAATGAAGATTCATGTTTCCTTAACAACCCTGCTGCAATTACTTCTCTTTTGTATTGTACTGATGACAACTGCTTGCCGTTTGACTGTTGAATGTAATTACTTTCTAGGCCCAGGCCCAGTTTGCCCAGACTACCACCCCCATGCCTGCCATCACTGAGGGAACCTATCAGCTTCAGCCTGCTACTGCTGGGATGCCAGGATCAAGTGAGTCTCATTTATATGTTTGAGTATTTTATCCTTCTATTGTGATACAAACTTGTTTATACTTATACTTATAAAATTAACAAAACTCGTTGCAGAAACCCCTTAAGCTGTGCCTGCTATCCTTTTTTTCATTAACACTTTGTGTCTTTCCACTTGTTTCTTATCTGCGTCACTGTGTGGGGGGTCTGTGATTATTCTCTGGGGCAGATAAAGACGTGTGGAGTGAGAAGACTGGGTTGGGAGGGAGACTTATGGGGTCTTTGCACAATAATGGGAGTGAATGGGCCCCCCACACTGACTGTGATTTCTCTCTATATCCCTCTGTGTTTGTGACTCTCTGTTTCTGTCTCATATTGTATTTTGGAGCAGGTTTTTTTGAGTTTGTGAGTTTGTGTGAAAATACGCCTGAACTTTACAGTGAGTGATATTCAGATGTAAGAAAAGAGAAAGAATTCAAGCATCCACCAAATATTAAAAGTGGGTAAAAGATGGAAGAGACGACCCTTGAGAGATGAGAGAACACAACCTTACTGCTTATTTTCTCTCACTTGTCCCCCTTTTGCCATTCTCCCGCTCATTCGGCTTCTCTTTTCTCTGTTTGGATTGGAGTCCTGTGGGCTTTTTGGTCTTTTGTTTTTACCTCAGCAGTGCTAACCATGAGTCACCATGGAGACTGGCTCTGGTAGTTGCGCTGGGACAGGGAATGATGGGAGAAAGAGAGAGGAGGAGGAGGAGGAGTTGATTTGAAAAGGAGGGAGGGTGGGTGGAGAGACCCAGGAGTGAGCTCGAGGGGTACAAGGAGGAGTTTGTTCTCCTGGTGGCGAGGAGAGACAGAGAGTGGGAGGTAAGAGGGGAACGGCCTGATTGACATCAGCACTGGACCACAGCCTCGCCAGATACACTAATGCTGTAAATTGTGGTCACTGTGTTAAATAACTACATGACCTTCCTTCTTCCTGTCATTGTTATTGGGAAAACACAATTCATACATACTGTATCCTGGATCTGCATCAGTAAGACACATTTGGCTGGTGAAAGGAATATTGATAATCAGCCAGTGGAATTTCCCAGAAATCTCAGTCCTCATTTACTGACTAATTTAGAAGTATGGTTGAGTTCAAAGGCTGTTTCCCACAAACTTCAGCTATGGATAGACTTCTGAAGAGAAAGAGGTCAGGCAAAGGATAAACTGCAAGAACAGTGAAATTGTGTTGAATTGAATAAAAGAGCAGAGTTGATTGTTCTTTTGACTTGCCTATGTGGGCGGATGTGGAGCAGGCATGTGTGGGAGAGGTGAATGAAAGAGAAGGTGATAAAACAGGAGAGCACAGAAATCTAAATGAGGAAAAAGAGAGAGCAGGCCAGCTTATGTGACTAGGCCTTTTCAGTTTTCTGATATAATGAAACGCATTCAGTTTTTTTTATTAGGGTCTAGTGTAGGAGGAGTACCAGATGAATCACAATCTCCATTTTTCTATCATTTGTACTTTTTGTCTTTGCCCAGCACATGGGTGTTTCTCTCTCTTCCCTTTTTCCACCGTGACCAGAGCTGTGAACTGTAACTGTGCAGTGAGTGACCTCTGATCACTTGCTATATGTGTGGTTGAAGTGAATGACTCAAACCATGCTGACTTTAGACTCGACTTACCTTGTAAAACTGAGAAACAAGATGTTGAAACAAGGAAAATCCCTGAAGTGTACATTGATCAAAATAATCAAAACTGGCTGTTTACAAGACATACAGTTGTATAGTTATACTTATTTATTCATATCTATACTAGAACTAAAAATTAGTCAGCTCTACATGCAGTCAGGTAATTGTTGATTCACCCAGCTAATTTCTCATAACAGAATCGGTCGTCCCCACTATCACTGAACTAGGCAAATTTACCTTTGTTGATCTGGAATCTGATTTATAAATAGAATTTCTCTCTATATATACAGTAGCATATTTCCATCTAATTTAGTTTGTATCTGATTTATTGAAGAGCATACAGATATCTGATGACATGTAAATGAGTTTTCCCTCAATTGAGGAAGAGGTTTGGTTGGATCATAAAAAACCAGACGGGCTGGTTTGAATATTTCTGAAACTGCTGATCGTGGGATTTTCACACACAAGAAGTCTCCAGAGTTTTTACTCAGAATGGAGCCAAAAACAAAAAGTGAGCTGCAGTTCTTGCTTCACCTTCCTTGTGTCGACAGTCCAGGCTGGTGATGGTGGTGTAATGGTGTGGGGAATGTTTTCTTGTCACACTTTGGATCCTTAATATCAATTAATCATAGTTTGAATGCCACAGCCTGTCTGAGTATTATTGCTCAGCCACAGCTGTCTGCTAATAGCTACTTCCAGCAGGATAATGCTCCATGTCACAAAGCAAAAGTCGGCTCAAACTGGTTTCATGAACATGACAATAAGTTCAGTGTCCTTCAGTGGCCTCCCCAGTCACCAGATCTGAATCCTGAGTTGTCATCATGCTTCACCGTGGCATAGCTAATTTCAGAGATGAGACCAGTGATGTGACTGGCTGAGACTGTATTTAATAATCACCACACCCTCTGATCTATATTCCACCTCAGTCAACCCGTGTTTGTCCTGCTGCACATACATGAACCAAAATAGCAAGGTGCGCTTTGCGACACCCACAGTAAATTCTAAATGACTGGCTAGCATGCATATTCATGTATGCCACCATATAGTCTGATTTAGCTCGTGCTTATTTTCCTACCTCTGACTGCCTTCCTCTCGTGTCCTTTCTGTTATACCTTTGCAGTAATTATTGCTCTGCTGCAAGGGCAGTGACAGGCTCTTGTTGCCAGAAAAGAGATGCAGGCAAGCAAGAATAGGGACATACAGGTACACACTGTCCAAACAGAAAGGTAGACGGGACAGTAAACAGGGAGCTTAATCCTAACCCCATGTTACACTTGTAGTGGTGTGTTAGAATTCAAAGGAGATGCTTAATATCCTGGAGACTCAAGTCTTACCTCCCTAAGTTTTGAGGTTTTGAACCTGCTAGCTGATGGCTTCCTGACTCATAACCTTCAAGGCATCACCAGTTATAAAAACTGTATGTGTGTACATGTATGTGTGTACATGTATGTGTGTACATGTATGTGTATACATGTCTTTGTAATATTTAAACAGACAGAACAGGAAAACAAAGGGGAGGAATGGACACATGCACACTAAAGCTAACACTTCAGAGCAAGTTACCATCAGAGCAAGGACCTAAATACTGATGCCAGGAAAGTTTTACTGCACTGCAGCACAGGGCGGTTATTATCAGTAGATTTCCAATAGAGGTCTCAGTGTCGCTCAAACTTGACCCCGCTGTGATCGACAGCATGAATAAAACAACGTGTAGGAGAGAATGAGATCAGATTAAAAAAAAACCTACTGAGTTGTAGCTAATATAACAGAGTTTGTACACCTGTGAATTCAAAACTTACAATGTACATCTTCAGGGGGGGGTTCAGAAAGACATACCTGTGTGTTATCATATACACTAATGCATTTATATATTCATTTGTTCATTACAGAATGTAACCTTAAGGTAAACTTGTTTTCTCTTCTCCTCCACATTCTCGCTCTCTCTCTCTTCTACCAACCACATGTCTCTCACTCTCCCTCTCTCCCACCTGTTTGTCCTCCCTCCATCTGCTCCCTTTACCTCAATTCTTTCTTTGGCTCCCTTTTCCCACCCACCCTCCTCTTCCTCCATCCACTTGTACCTCCAGGCTTGTACCCAAACCTGGAGGAGCTGGGAGACTACATGGGACTGGCTCTCAACAGTGATGAAGTCCAGAGGAACTTGGCCCTGTTGCCCGTGGCTGATAATGTAGGTGACATGACAAGCGGGACTCCACATACATGTATATAATCATGTTGTTCTGTAAGCAACTGTTCCCGCTGCCCCCAAGTGGCCAGAAAAAATGTGTTTTTAGTAGATGGAAACCGTGAGCTGAACATGTATCGAAAGCACAACAGTACTGGGTTTCTGGAGATCCACATCACTGAGTGACTCACCACAGGCCTGGAGCAGTGTGTGGGAGGGTGTGAGCTCTTCACTCCCCTCCAATTGCGTGTGTGTATGTGTGGATCCTGCAACATGTCAAAGCTCTTGCAGCACCCAAGCTTGTCAGCTGGCATTTAACCATCTGTGCTCTCTGCCATTTGTTGATATCTTTACCTCTACCATTATTTATTTATATTTTTTGTGCATTTCTTTATTGTTAGTGCAAAGCATATTAATAATGAAGTTTTCAAAAGCAGCACCTCAGTCACTCGTGGAGGAGGAGATGAAATTGAATCCTCCCACATATCTCTATTTTATGCAGCATTCTTTTTCATCTGCAGCTGAATTTTAATGTTTCTCTTTAATCCTTTCTTCCTCTCACCTCTCCACCCACCCCCCACCCCCTCCCCAACTTGTTCTTTCTCAACCCACCTCTTCATACGTTTTCACCTTCCTGCTGTCTGGCTCCCTTCCCCACTCCTCAGCAAGTGGCAGTGCCCTCCAGCTCAGGTGTCGGGGGCATGGTGCGGCCCGTCACAGGGGCGGACGTCGGCATCAGGCGGGCAGAGATCCGCCCAGGACTGCGGGAGATTATACTCTGTAAGGACCAGGACAGGAAGGTGGGACTCCGGCTCAGGGCCATCGACAACGTGAGTCAGCATCACAAGCTCTTTGACAGACACCTGGGTTAATTATTCAGCACTGACTGACAGACTGTAAAAACGCATTTTATGAGGAGTGTAACATTCCCCCGATCCACAATTTGTTTTTTTGTTTTGTTGTGTTTCTTTGGCTTGAATGTGCCAGCTGAAACAGTGACTGGCTTTTGTTCATTAACAGTCTCTCTCTTTTGATACTTGGCCGGCTTGAAAGTGGTAATATGCATCCAAACGTAGTTAATAATTCAGTTTGTGGAATTGCACTAACACAGTGCGCAGGGCTGAAATGACTGGAATGAGTTGGCAAACACAGAAGATTCAGAGTATTGGTAATCGATGTCCTGCTGAGATGAACCAGACACAGCACACTCGTGATTTGTACATCATGCAGTAAAGTCTGCAGTAAACTGGGGGCTTACATAGCATCCAAACAAGAGACAACATGCACTGTTTTTTCTTTTACAACATAACAAGCTGAATTCTCAGAATAGGCAAATAAAATTGAAATATATGTCACCCCAGTCCAAAGTGCTGCTTATATTGCATGGACATCAAGTAAAAGAGTGGAACCAATTTTTTTAAATGAACTATTCAGACATGAGCCTTCTGCTGATCCTGTTTTACGTCATTCCTTCTACTGTTTCATTTTTTAAAATAATCTGTCAAGGGCTTTTCTCTCTACATTATGAACATTTAATCTCTTCTTTCCTGTCTGTGTCCTTGCCTCCCTCTTCTTGAGTCACTCCTTTGTTTTCTCACCATTATCAGTGTCTGTCTTCTGTCTCTCCCCTCTCTCTCCCTCGACTGCCTTGACTAATTTTGAATGTTTTATCTGTTTCCTCTTTCCTTTCACAGGGAGTGTTTGTCCAGCTGGTACAGGCCAACTCCCCTGCGGCTCTGGCCGGGCTTCGTTTTGGAGACCAGGTCCTGCAGATCAATGGACAGAACTGTGCCGGCTGGAGTGTAGACAAGGCCCACAAGGCGTTGAAGGCTGCGGCCGAGACCCGCATTGAGCTTGTGGTCAGGGACAGGTGAGGAGCATGTGATAAACTGAGGACAGAAGATTATAACAGTGTGTCCTACATTTTTTTTATCTAGACATGTTTTCTTTTGGTACCAGTTTGACCATTGCACCAGTGTTAAGTTTAGCACCTGAATTTTTACTCACGTTAAAATTCAAATTTCAAGGTTTGTTAATTGTCTTCGACTCAGCTTCCCCAGCTTTTGAGTTTATTTGAGGAAAAGATAAGAGGCTGCTGCCTGATGAGCTGAGGGCCTTGTGACAGATTCCAGATATAAACATGGCCATCACATTTGCAAAACTTTGAGTGTAAATTAGTGTATCTTTACATATCCTTCGGTTATTTAAACTGGTGAGATTTTCTTTGTCATCTGATTTCTGTAGTAGCTGCAATGTTTGGCTCCCTCTGCTGGCTCCTCCATCATTTGCACTTTGCTGCTCAGCTCATCTTTTAGCCTTACTTTTGTAAACATTATCAAATAGTCTCTTGTTATCTTGTATTTTCCCATCTATTTCTGAGTTTCCTGTTTTCATGTTCATAATTATAAATTGACAGACATTCTGGTTCATTGTAATTTTAAAGGAAAGAGCCTCAGCATCAGGTTCTGTGTATCAAAGCTTTACACCCGTGTGTCTGCAGGCCATTTCAGCGCACCGTCACCATGCACAAAGACAGCTCAGGCCACGTGGGCTTCATCTACAAGTCTGGAAAAATCACCTCACTGGTCAAGGATGGCTCTGCTGCCCGCAACGGTCTGCTGACTGAGCATTACATCTGTGAAATCAATGGACAAAACATTATTGGACTCAAGGTCAGACACTTATTTCTACACACACAAAATAGTTTGCAGAATATAAACTGTGTGGAAGTATTGAGAAGAAGTGAACGGTGTCATTTGATTAACTTTATTGATCTTGAACTGTGTCAGAGCAGAGAAAAATACGGGCTAAAAATGATCCAACATTAGAACAGATCCAGAAGTCTGTACAAATGTGAAGTGTTGAGTGCGTATCAGCATTGATCCATCAGCAGTTTGCTTTTTGTCCAGTATTTGCCCCAGCAGACATGTGACATGTCTTTGTCTGCCCTGTGATGAGGGTTTTCAATGTGTTTTTAGTCTGAACTTTACATTTTGTTTTGCTGGCTCCTACAGTTCTCTCCTTTGGTTTGATGTACTTTTGTAAACTGCTCTAAATACAATGATAACTTCCCACAGTTCTCTTTACTCTTCATACTCAGAAAACATGGTTTGCAAAACAATTGGCACAAGCGCTCAGATATCTCCTGGTAATTTTCTGTCTACAATACTCTGAATCTACCAGTGAATGTACCAAACCCTTGACTGTATAAAGGGTATGAAGTCATAAGGAAAGAGACACAGCAGAATAATCAGTGTCACATTGGATAATTTGAGGTTCTGTGCAGCATTTCAGAAAAGACTGTGGTTTATTATTATAGACAATACAGGAATCTCATATCAGGTCACACACACATACATTGTGAAGACATCCGAGTCTGGATTTGTCACTCAGATCTTTTACGTCTGAGCGGCAGGGAAATTGTCATAGTAGATGCGACGTGGGTGACTTGATGTAAATGACAGCACAGATATGGAGCAGCGAACAGACTGTCTACAATATTTATTTTATTTTCTGGTTTTGATGAACAGACTCAGTGCACTGCCGTTGAAAAAGATGGTTGCTTTTCTTTTTGTTCTCATGAGGAGTTTTTTGTTTCTGTGTTTTCTGTGTGATTTAGTTGTTTGTATGAAGAGTTTTGTGAAGACACCTTTTTTACAGCTGTGGTGTTTATCTCATCTATTGTCAATACTGGGCTTCTTTTTTTATAACTATCAAAACAAGGGAGAAAAACTGTAATATGAATGTGTTTCACAACACCTTGAATATAAAGGTAATTCACTGATTACATGCCATACTGATATGTCACTGTCACTGTGTGTAAACTCCAGGATTCTCAGATCAAGGATATTTTGACCACCTCTCCGACCGCCATGACCATCACCATCATGCCCAAGTTCATCTATGAACACATGATTAAGAGGTGAGACTTCAACATTTTTCCTGGTCTAGTGCCAATCACCTTATCATTAACTTTGTCAGTTCACATCAGTGAGTAAGACCCTGTTCAGACCTCTGCAGTGATCCGATCACAAGTGGTCAGTTCACACCTGCCTTTAAAATGTGTCTGCACGTTCGTCGTGAGTGACCACTTATGATCGGATCTCCCTTCCCCGCTTTATATGCAAATAAACATGTATGTATTGTTTTTAGCCAATCGACAGACGGGTCCATCGTCAATGTGCTTGTGTGTGTGAGAGGGCGAGAGAGAGCTGCACACAGCTCTACAATTAACTAAGGTTTTATCCATTCGAAATAGTAAAATATTTTCAGTTCGTTGTCAGATTGACTAATTAGTCTGGCAGGGGACATCAGTTGAGTAGGAGGTCTGTGACGTCACAGAGGCTACATCTATGACCGCGTGAAGCATCCTAAATTAATTAGCTGATTGGTGTGATTTTGCTCTCCAGGATGTCCACCGGCCTCCTGCGGTCAGCCATGGATCACTCTGTCCCAGAGGTGTGAAGACCATGAGGAGGACTGTACAACTGTCTGGATGTCTACAACACAGAGATCTCTCTCTCTCTCGTTCTCTCTTTCCTTACTCATATCTTTATCTCTCTCTCTCTCTCTCTCTCTCTCTCTCTCTCTCTCTCTCTCTCTCTTTCTGTCCTCATACCAAATCACCTCCTGCATCGCAATCATCATCGCCGTTTCTCATCCTTAACATAATCTTAAGATGCCTTTTTTTCTATTCTTCAGTTCAGAATATTCTTCACCTTTTCTACATTTTCCTCATCTCTGTTGACATTTGTACTTTTTATATGTTAACCTTGTAGTCTGAGTATTACATGTTTTTTTTTCTTGTTTTGTATTTGAGATCACGGGCAGTACAAAATGTTTTTTAAGCCATGCACACTATCATGAGTCCAGAGCTTCCTCCTCAGTGTGGAGATGAATCATTGGCACAAGACGTTTCACCTTGTTAAAAATGCTGTAACAGCCAATGGTCAGTCATCAGAGCCCTACAGTACCATGTAGATTACAGCTGTGCTCTCAATCCCTGCACTTGGCCTCGTAATGTGTGTACATACATAATCTGAGCTGAACTAACACCTGGTGGGGGGGCCTCGTGAAAAAGTTTGCTGACGTTGTTCTAGATTCCAGTGTACAGTTATTTTTACTAGGCCAGTAAAAATAATAGGTTTTAGCAAAGGGTTGTTTTTAGTTTTCACCATATACTGGTGAATATTAGTGTTGATTTTGGCATCAAGATTATGATCTTATTTTAGAGACCCTAGATTCCAACATGCAAGTGAGAGAGGCAACATCGCAGTTTCCACCTTCTCCAAGAGATGACCATGTGTCATCGCAGTCATAGATAAATAATCATCACGTTTATTATAAACAAGAGGATTATTTATGAGTGTCTCTGTTTTGTTTTGTCCGTTTACATCGCTACGACCGATACATTGTTCAGGATGTGGAGCTGTGCACGCTGCTACTCTCTACTATAGCTTGATGTATCATTGCATCTCATTTCCTGTCTCTGTGAGCAAATTTCACGATGAGACGCTGACGTGTTCAAACTGTTGGTACTTGGAACACTGTGTGCACATTCCAGGGGAAAGTGTAGGGAAAAGGCACAGCAGTAGACGTTTGTCGCCCTATGCAGCTGGAACTTGGCCCTGTCCACAAACATTATGACAACAATGAGATGGTCAACGGCACAGATGAGCAGGATCCCAGCGCAGCATGTGGGTGTTTGACTGATTTAAGCGCTTCAAACTGTAACTTTTGAGGGCCTTGTTGGTATTTGTTTGGACAGGGTCTGTGATGGGCAGACCCACTAAGTGCACTTTTCCACTACCTTTTAAAAGGTTGACTTTCCTGTATCCATTTCAACAGTCAAGTCCGATAGTTGTGTTCGTGGCGCCTCATGTCAATGTATGTTAACTATAGGAAACTGCTCAAATTTGATGCTGAAAATCATCTGCTCAGATTAAAGGCATTTAAATTCCACATCCTGTGTTTAGCTAGTGAACCTGCTCTCTTCTGCTCGGAGCTGTTAGTGGACTTCCCTCTGTAATATTCCTTCCTTGACTGATGAGCACAGTGAGACTGAGCAGAGCTCACAGTTGTGAATTTCTACTTGTTATATAGAGTTGCTCCTTTTAATGCTGTTCATGTTTGGATGCATGTATTCCTTTAATTTTCTAGGTATGCAATCTGATAAACATCCATGTCATTCTGTAAAAAAAAAAATTAGAAAAATCTAAAAGTTTATATACGAATGTAACCAAGATAATATTGTAAAACAAATAAACAATCTTTCTGTTCACGTTAGCTTGATGGTGTTCGTGGGCGTTCACCCCCTCAACATGACATTAATCCTCAACAACAAGTAATTTCACAACACTGTCACAATATCAACATCCAGAGACAAACACACACATGAAGACAACACACACGTTTCCTCCATGCTGTTTAATATAGGGGCTTTTGGTCTTGCTTTATACAGTGTGGTGGGAGTGTGAATGGAGATGTCGTCTACTGATGTGTTTTACTGTACACACTACTATTGCCATTAAAATAGTTCATTTACAATACGTTATCTGTAGATATTAATGACGTCAGCTGGATTACTATACAAGGCATTGAATGTCCTTAATGGTAGGATGTTAAAGACTCGTTATAACCTCTGTATATATTAATTATCATTACATAGTCTACGGAGCACATACGCAGACAATCAGACAAGGATTAAAGCATAAAATGACGTTACACATTCAAATATTGACAAAAAAAAGAAAAGCCAAACACCCCCCCACCTCCTCCTGTCATCCCCAAAAAAATATTCAGCATCATGTTTGTCTAAGGATATACGCAGTATATAATCAATCAGTCACCGTCACATACTGTACACTGACACAACCTCACGCAGCAGCAGGAAGTTTAGGTGTATTTTGGGACAGAAACAGAAAACACAGGCTCACTGTAGACATTCTTTCAGGACAATCAGGTTAATGGCCTCCTTGGCTTTGCAATAAAACTTGATAAAGTGCTCTATGTTAAAGATTGACTGGAGGAAAGTTGAATCAAACTTTTAATGGATAAATCAATCACAGCCTGATGAGTCTGAAGCCTCTGCTGGGACTCAAACATTTAACAAGGGAAATTACTGCACTGTCAGGATCCAAAACAAGAACACTGCAGGCCACAATGTCTAAATGTTGCCCATTAAACAGCAAAATGTAGAGGACAAAGTTCCCCCAAGGATTAATGATGTGACTGTTATCACCAAACCCTATTAGGACCAGTTAGTGAAGACATACAGGTTTAACACAGGTCTGTCTAAACGTTGTTAGAATCTCGTCAAACATATTAAAGCAAAAGACAATAAGCTATTAAATACAAAGTCCCCAAAGCCCCAATATAAAGGGAAGATGTATTTACTGTTTGCAGCAGGGCTGAACCATATGCAAAATAAAAAGTCATTTTGCAATTGAAAAGTGTTTTTACCTGAAATCTGCTATATATTTATTTGACCACTCAGAAAACAGTCAGCCAATCAGAAGAGAGGCTCAGAGCCTGTTGTCGAGCTCCAGAGAGAAGCCTGAGAAATTACACTGAGATGGTTTTTGGTACTTAACAACACAAATACATCTTCTTATGGATATCAACACTTAAAATGAAACAGTGGAAAACAGTACAATATTGGACCTTTAACTTGTGACAAGATGTATTATTCTTTAATACATACATATCATTCATTATCTTGTGTGCACAAGATCTGGATCTCATGCACACTAATTGCATCTTGGGCAAAAAAGAATAATTACTCATATGTCATTGTATTTTATTTCCTGATATGACTGCAGATGTAAATTATCTAGGAGCTATAATCTGGTCCGACACATCAAATGGTGACATTTACGTTGAAAGCTGGCCATTTTTAAATAAAATAGATAAATAAAAAATAAATAAGTATAAAACCCATTAGAGATCCAAGATCCAAATCCCGTGTGCACAAGATGAAAACATATAATCTTTTGGGACTTTGGGGGCTTCGTAACACGATAACAATTCAATATTTTTTGTAATTGGTACACGACTTCACAATAAATGCTTTAATAAGATAAACTTCACATACATGACACATAATGCAGCTGAAGTATAGACTTTGGTGCATAGAGGTAAATTAAGGGGGGTTGAGATGATTACTGCTACCCACTACAAACCTGAACTCCTGAACCTGAACCTTGTAATCCAGCATCAGTTCACTGGATCTACCCCTTTGTTTTCCCTCTAACACCCCGTTTCTGTTACAACGGCCTGTGTTCAGTGACAGCAGATGTACAGTAGTAATCATTCTCATGACGTTCATCAGATTTTATTACACAACACATTAATATCGAGAGAAGGAGGCCGCCTCCCACATTCTCACACCTGTTCCCTCACAGGATTAATTATATGGCTTTTCTTTTGTAAAACGTGAAATTGTTTTAGCTTCCTAATCCACTTCAGCCGAGCGTCTCACACGGTCGGGAGATGGCAACACAACTCGTGCACAACTCATGATAACGAGTAAGGTTATGGATGAAATGTGTGGGGAAGTGTTAAGTGGAGAAGAGGCAGTCCTGTGTGTCTCTAAGGCATTCAGGAAATCTTGTCATGGATCTCAGTGGCTGCTGCGTTCAGATCGATGACATGAAAACACAGACAGCAATTCTCATGATTGTCACTGATAAAGAAGCTGCTCATTCTCTACCAGTGTGTGACTTTACAACAGCACTTAGACTTTAAATGTCCATTAATTTGCAGGGTTTGTATGGCCTGTAGATACAAATGTAAAGAGCTGAGATCAATGGCTCTTATCATGGATGAAATAATGACATGTATTATAGTAGTATTTTTAAAGATCTACCTGAAATGTCCGCATTATCTCAGTTACACTTCACCTGCTTCATTTTCGCCTTAAACATCATCAGCGCTTTGTCAAACTTGATCAGAACAATCAGTCAGAACTCAGTGGACACACACACTTTGGAAACCAATACAATCTCAGCTTCAAGTAATTGCTTAAAATTCATAAAGTGAACAATAGTGCAAAATATGTCAAACCAAAGAGTAAAAAACCCCAAAACAAAACAGAAACATGATTCATGCTGATTATTTTTTCACTGAAGATTTAAACAGTTCAGTTGGTGTCTATTTTTCTTTTTGGTGTCCATTTACTGTTTTTGCAGGTTGTGTCCAGGTGTGCCTCGATTCATGACTTTCTATTGAGTCTCTCACAGTCAGACGAATTTTGATTTTACAGTTGCAGGCTGCTCATTTGCCCTTACACACACAAAGTTAAAATTCTGCACAAGATCAGCAAATTGACGTGTCACTTTCATCAAAGTCCTCTCGCGATACACACATTCATACAAAGAAAACACCCTGATCCTAAATTAGATCACAACCCAGACAGTTACCTTATTGATTTACATTACTGCCGTGTAACGTAGTCCTCCAGTGTCTAGAGATGCTTTGCAGAGTTAAACAAATAAAGTTAATTCATCTGCAGTGACTAACTCTTGCACAGTGGACTTGAAATACACACTACCAGAGTGACAGTTAAACTACACCACAAGAGCATTAAAGTTAGCAGAAATATACAGCACAGAGCACAGACTGAGCACAACTCACTTCATTCAGATCTACAACAGAGTGTCAAACTGAGCCAGTGAGTATCTACAAACAAGTGTCTGGTCATTATGTGACTTTCCATCTGATGACTTGAAAAGATAGTCTGTGTGTTATGTGAAATGAAAGCAACCCAAATTGAGATCAGTTGTTTTCAGTCATTCAGTAGTTCAGCTGAGTTTGCTCTGAGGTTCAGGGTACAAGGACCAGACATGAAATTCCACCCTAAAACATAACGTCCATGTTGAAGCCTGAAGAGCAAAGAACAAACACAAACAAAATAGTTCCAGCACGCAACTTCCTGTAAAACGTATCATTCAGGTTTTTGTACGGATTAAACAAAACAGGATATATTGTATTAACTAGAGAGTTTTAGAGCTGAGCCAGGCTAGCTGCTTCCCCCTGCCTCCAGTCTTTATGCTAAGCTAAGCTAACCACCTGCTACTAGCTTCATATCAACACACAGACATGGGAGTGATATCAATCATCTAACTTTGTGCAAGAAAGCAAATGTGCATATTTCCCAAAATGTGGAACTGCTCCTTTAATGGTTGAGAGAACCAGTGAAGGCGGCTGTGTCTGCACAGTAAAACCCAGAGGGATGCTGTGCATTGAGAAAAACACACTATGAGGTTTGGTTACAGTCATAAAATAAATGGCATTAATGTTTGTTGATTTGCTGCCAATAATAAACGGAGGACCTACTTTGTGGATTCATTCATATTGAGTTTGAGCTTTTGTTTGATTTCCGCATCATCTGCTCTCAAAGCAGAGACACACTGAACACAGTCAGCTCCCATTCATCTTCTCTGAGAAGTTAATATTATATTGCAACATCCCCTTTGAAGAACGGAACAACAGATTCATGCATCCCTCGGGAGAGTGGAATTTAAAAGGAAATCAAAGAGTTTTTGTTTTCCTATCAACTCTTTGGCCAGTAAGAAAACAACCAAGACAGTTATTCAATTCCTAGATTGAAGTAAATCATTTTTTATCCTGTGTGTTCTGTTTTATAGTCAAGACGCTTTATTCAATAACAACATGTAGAAACTAATTACAATAAAACAGTAAAGGAAAGGTTTTGGGAAATGTGCTTATTTACTTACAAGACTTCAATTATTAAATGATTGTTTTTTTTTGTTGTTGTTGTTTTTTAGTGTTTACCCTTGGACAAAGCCAGGCTAGCCGTGTCTCCCTTCCTGCAGTCTGCATGCTAAGCTAAGCTAACTGCCTGGTGGCTCAGGCTCATACAAGCTCACTACAGTTTATAAAGGATAGTTCAACATAAGCCTTGAGGGAAATAGTGAAACTGCTCGAACTGCAAGACAAAATTTATGACATGTCAGAAATCCACCTGAACACTGAGGTCGCTGGAAAAACACAGTGAACCTTGTTCACTGGAGTGAAGCCCAATGAATAACCATGCAGCCATGGTGCCAATGCACAGGGCTACGGAAAGAGTGTGACATCATCCAGCCAGGTGCTCATCACATACATGCAAACACACATTTCTGGTAAATTATTTAGTAACAAGAACGCTGTGTTTTCACTGTTTAACTTGCAATCGTTGCGACAAAAGATCAAATAACTGCTGTTTTGATCAGAGCTGTAAAGTGTTACAAACTGTGCAAGCGTTTGGTGTCGGATCAGCCTCACACTCATGGATCTGTCACTCAATCTGGATTTCCTGGATCGTATTTCCTGTCTTACTGGTATCTGAAACAACACGCCCCCCCCACCAACCTTTCTTTTGTTGCAATGCATTCAGTCTGAATGTCCACTTCATGGCGTCGTGACCCCCCCTAAACTAAGCATCAAATGACAATCGATCTCCTCGACCAGAGATCGCTCAGATTCATAAACAACTAGGAGGTGTCGAATCTGGTGTTGAAATTGGACTTTATCTGTACAGTGACTGCGTTTGGCTTCACAGCTTGACTCCAACAGCTGAATATGGAAAATATCAATGGTTCTTGCAGCCTTGTGAGGTTCGCTGTGTTTCTGGCCTTTGATTCAACCTGAGTTCTGTGTCTATGTTGTCGTCTCTTGACACTAGACAAGCTCCACGTTCTCAAAGACTCAAAGAGAAGCCGAGACTTTCTGCAGCGACAGGAAACGTGTGAATTTTGATTTAGGGTGGATTTTCCCTCAGTGGTTAATGAGTGTGGCTCGTCTAGTGTGGACGAGGCCGTTTGGTTGTACATGTACACATACACATACATACGCCGTATACATACACGTACCGCGTCTCACGTACGCGCTCATTAACACGTGATCGTTTTAACATGCCAGAGCGGAGTCAGACCAGTAGGTTGACAGTTCAATGAATCTTTAACATTTTCCCTGCACTTAAAAACAAAACAATCAGCGTCAAACATCCGAGCATAGATCACTCATTCATCAGTCAGCTCAATCAGTTTTGCACAAGTCAGTAGGATTAGCAGACATCTTGGTAGCAACAGCAGGAACCCGAGGGTGAGAGACAATAAAGAGCAGGACCAAACACAACAGTTTATAGGTCAGAGATCTTAGTCATGAATGCACACTTCCTGTTCCTGATGCTCCCTCAGCTATAGGACAGGAAGTTCTTTCCCTTCCTCATATTACAGTTATTTCCATCAGAGCCACACAGGAGAGGAGTGAACAGCTTCTCCTCTTATATCTGCGATCCGCCCAGGTCTCCCCCGCCTGCGGGGTAATGCCTCAATCCACCTCCCCTGCGCAGCGAGTGCAGTGCCACAGTGCAACAGCCTCGCAGCAGTGACCCTATATGATACATGGGCTGTCCGTCACGGACCGGGCCGCGGCACAGCCACGCCACTGTTGGCACCACGGGGATGGCCACTGCCAGCAGATCGACCAGGAAGTGACGACTCCAGTAGCTTTTCTGAATTGTCCCAGATTCAGACGAATCCCCCTCCTCTGCTGCAGCGTCCCCTGCAGCGCCTTGTTCTTTAGTTTCATCTTCATCATCGTCCTCATCGTGCACCTCCACTACAGTGACGCCAGCGATCTCCTCGTGGGACGTAGCTCTCCTGGGCTGGGAAGTATGAGGCTGTTCTACACCCGGTGATAATCCCGGGCGACTCGGACTCAACTGTCCGGTCTCCGCCTGCGGTGATCCTGCTGACAGAACAACTTCCTCCATGCTGAGATTTTTCCGTGTTTTCCCACTCTGCCTGCTTTCTCCACAGCATCCTCCAAACCTAAGCTCACCCTGCATCCCTGCTGGTGTTTCTTCCAAGTCGCATAGTTCTCCTGGCGTCGCCTCCTCCTCTGCACCCTGACCTTCCACCTCATTTCCTGCCACTGAGCCCGTCTGCTCCTGCTGCCCTCCATCCTCCGGCCTCATCACTGTTGTTTCATCATGCTTCTCTGTTGCATCAGCCTCCTTCTCTCTGTTTTCCTTCTCCTGCTTCTCCTCCTCTTCTTCCACTCCCTCCATCACCTCACTCAGAGGACTGTCCATGGAACACGCCACAGTAGCAGAACGTGGTAAAGAAGGGACCACCGGCGTTTTGGAGAGTGGGATTGGCTCTGTGGCCGTACTCATGACTGTTGCTGTGGTTACCGAAGTTGTGGTGGTGATGGAGTCCAACTCTTCCTCCCCTTCATCAGACATCCAGGTGGAGGTGGGGCTGCAGGCCTGGGAGCGGAAAGTGCGTTGCTCCGCAATGGTATCCAGATCGGAGGGGTAACCTGCTGCAGCAGGGATGGGGCAGCTTTCAGTCTGAATACCCGTCTCCCGCAGGGGGTGCAGGTACAGGTGGTGGTGGGACAGGCAGGGGTGGCTCATACAGCTCACTCCACCCAGGCCGCAGCGAAAGGGAGCCAGCCGCTCGCCTGTGCACAGCTTCTCATAGGTGGAGGAGTGTGGCATAGTGTGGGGCACAGAGTGGGACAGATTGTGAGGGAAAGAATGAGGTAAGGTGTGAGAGAAGGAGTGAGGCAGAGAGCTGGGCAGAGAGTGGGGCAGGGACTGGGGCAGGGACTGGGGCAGAGACTGGGGCAGAGACTGGGAGAAGGTCTGTGTGTAGGAGTTGAGTAAAGATGCAGTCTCCTCGGAGAGGAAGGCGGCCTCCAGCAGCAGGTCGGCCCGGCTGGGGACGCTGCTCTCCCCGCAGCACACAAAGCCACTGTCCTGGGTGCCGTCACCTGACAGACAAGGAAAGTCCTGCCCGTTGCCGTTCTGGTCTGCCAACGCCTGATCGGTGAGCTTAGTGTAGGTGGAGCTCCGGGTCAGAGAACGAGCTGGGGAGGCATCGCAGGAGCAAGTCCCCCTCCCCCCTATTGCCGGTTTGGGTATTCCCCCTGGACTCCCCCCTGATACTGACGCTGGTGCTGAACCCCCAACACGGGTGCGACAGCCTGGTATGGCTCCCCCCTCTTTGGCTAATCCAGCCTGGGCTAACTCCATACTGAGCAAAAGGTTCTCGAGCTTGTGGTTCTGAGTGTTGATGTCCTGGAAGTACTTCTGGACCCCTGCGTCCCCACTGAGTCCTCCGGCGTCACTGAGCCTGGCACGGACAGTGTCCACAGCCTGTTTGAGCTGCTGGATCTCCTGACGCGCCTCCTTCAGGGCCAGCTGAGCCTCCACACGGTGACACTCCTCCTCCACCCAGTCCTCCTGCATCCTGTAGAGCTGGCCTCTCAGCTCATCTATCTCTGTGTCCCTACGAGGGTGAAGATGGACAGAGGAGATGGGGGAGGGATAAAGTTGCAGTCGTTAGGGTTATAGCCTGGGAGATTTAGTAAGGGAAAAAAGAAATATGAAGTGACCTTACTGATTGTGAAAATCTCTATCTCACCTGTCTTGCAGTGTGGTGATGGTTTCTTTTAGCCTGGCCCGCAGGTGGCGGATACACACCTCCTTCTGCTGCAGGGGTGTGAGGTACTGCTCTGGCGGAGGGGGTCGAATACCATGGTTGTCTGTACATGACGTGTACTTCTGGTGACGTCTAGAACACAGGACAGGCAAATGAAGGGAATAGAAGTTTTTTATTTTTAATTTTTTGGCATGTGTTGTAAGTAGGTGTGGGTATCAAAGCTCAAGATCTTTTTTGGTGCTGAATGAAAAGTGTCTGTTGTATTGTAAGCTGGGGTTTTAATGCAAATACATGGGCCCTGTCTACTTTTAAACCTGCATTATTTGATTTTTGAAAACAAGCTGTAAACACATCATTGACTTCTGACCTTATAGAGTTGATATGGCAACAAAAAAAGATATTGAGTTCTCTCTTGAAAATATTTCATTCATCTTTTATCGAGTCAGTTGTCATGTTAGCTAAATGTGGCTTGTTTATACATCCATCAATTATGGAGGAACATGTGTTTGTACCCCCCTGACAAATCATAGTGAAGTTGACCTTTGACCTTTTGGATATAAAATGTCAACACTTTATCATAAATGTATGACTATGTGAAATCTCTAAATCTGTGTTTTGTCAGGTCACAGTGACCTTTGACCTTTGACCACTAGAATTCAGTTCATCATTGAGTCCAAGTGAATGTTTGTGCCAAATTTGATATATTTGATTTATCGCAATTACAAGAATGTGGGGTTATTGTGACCTTGACCTCTGACCTTTGACCTCTTTGACTCCAAATGGACATTTGTGCCAAAACTTGAGGGGATTCCCTTGACGAGTTCCCGAGATATTACGTTCACAAGGCCAAAACCATGTTTTGTGAGGTCACCGGGACCTTTGACCTTTGACCACTAAAATATAATCAGTCCATCCTTGAGTCTTAAGTGAACATTTGTGCCAAAAGAAATTCCGTCAAGGTTACTGAGATATGGCGTGTATGAGAATGGGGCGGATGGACGGCTCTGGCTGTTGCCAGCACGGAGACAGAAAAATTTATTTTAGACAATCTTTAAATAACCAAGTCGTGTAAATAAAAAAGCAATTCAGGCAAAAAGCTGTAGAACTGGAGGCTTCTGAATTGCTGCCCACATCTTTTTCACTGATTTAGATAATGAAGTGAAAATGAAATAGCATTTGAGTCTGATTTGAGTCTGGCTCATTAAACAGCGAGGGAATAGGAATGCATGTTGTAAGAATATCAATTTCTGATTTCTCCTGAGGTGAGAAAGTCGCACACAGTTTCTGTTTCTATCTGTAGTGTTCACTTTTGCTTTGAAGTGAATGCAATCAATCATGCAAAGCAGGATATTAGACATGGCCACGCAGTGTCTGATGTCTCACCCTTTGGTGGGGCTGCAGTCGCTGCCTTTACAAGAGCCTGAGTTGCTGCTGCTGCTGAGGGAGGCGTTGCCATAGGGATCTCTATTACTAGGCGCTGCCGGTGTCCGCCTGGTCCAAAGTAAGAGGAGACAAGTTAATGTGTTTGTGATATGAAACCACACTCCAGGTGACAGTGAAGTCGGTGATCTGTTGAGCAAAACCACGACAACTCTGTTTAAAACCACACATCAAAACAGACATGAATGGAGCAAAGTTCAGTCCGGGTTCACCAACATGCCAGTACAACACAGAAATGCACAAATACACAGACACATTACAAAACACAGAGGCCAAAGCCACTGCCAGAGGAAGTTCTGCCTGAGAAACAATGACACACACTCCTCTGGGCACTGACAGTGATGTTGCAGTTTTTCAGAAAGGGAGTGTGCTCTGCAAAGATGAAAACCAAATATCAAAATAAATAAGACTCAATGACATAACTAAAAGAAGCAAAACAAACAAAGTTTAGGGTGTCTTTCACTAGAGAGGATAAAAAGAAAAGAAAAGAGAATAAACAAATAGAAAGGGAGAAGGGAGGAACAGGTCAGACATGATGCTGTGGAAACAAGTCTCTCAGGTGTTTCCTCAACGTAATATCATGGAACATTCACAACAGTGCAAAGGGTCTCATCATTCTCATGCTTCACAGATTCAACACTGATCGGGAGGAAAACAAGAGGGACTCAGAACAGACCGAGAACGAGGGGTGGAGGAAGGGGAGTTTGCGGAGCGGCTGTGGCGATCCGGAGACTTGGTGGAAGCGTATCCTTTAGTCGGCGACTTGGTTGATGCATAGCCTTTAGTCGGGCGCATTGAGACCATATAGCCTGTCTCCATGGGAACGTAGTCTAGCTCTATGAACCTGCAATAGTCAAACCTGACCAGGCAGAGACAACAGGGATGTTAAATCACAGAGAACAAGCAGAGGACCACACCTGAACGATACAACGTGCACGTACTATTGAGGTGAGACAAAGCTGCCCTGCATGTAGCATGTCGTAGGATTCACCTCATTCACTCAGAGTCTGAGCAGCAGGCGGCGCAGCTGCCAAATATCAACAAGCACTCAAACACTGAAGTGGCCCATGAGAGGTGGCTCTCTGAGAGCGTAACAAGAGGGAAGACAGACATCTCTGCTTTCACAGCTGAGGCTGCTCTCTTTGGCCGCCCATATGACACATTTAAATTTGTAGTTACACAAACTAACGTCTAGCTACCTGAAATATAATTCAGAGATAAAATGTTCTGAGACTTCAGTGTTCAGAGAAGCCGGGGAGCGGGAGTGGCATTAGCATTTAGAGCCTCGTGGTCCAGAGTAGTTCACTTCAAACAAGCTCCCATACAAAAATCTCTACACACAGCAGATGTGATATGAAAATTAGGCGAACATCATTTATCAAATATAAATTTAACCTCTGACACATCTGATACACCCCAGACATAAATTTAACCTCTGACAACTAATTGCTAAAATCTGAATGGCAAAGGTGAGTTCAGTTGTTAAAAGGATGTCAGATTAAGACCACAGATCTGTCTCTCCACACATCACCAGGAAGGTCTTCCTTCTTCTTCTACCGCAGAGTAATCTACAGAAGCATTGAAAGACATGTTTTTGCCATAAACATATTTTTTTATTTGTCTTTTGGGGTTTTTTCACAGATGAAAAAAAACCCTTGAATTTAAGAACAAACAAACTTGCCTTTTAGGGCTTCTGTAGTAAACGCTGTTCTCCTTCCCAGCCCATAATAATAATTTACGTAGCTTAGTATAGAGCAGCGGGAAAGCACATCCTGCAAGAAATATAGGCTAGAAAACGCACGCTGTAGAAGTTTTTAGACAGCAGAAATTACTGCTTAAAGTTTGTTGGGGAATATCATAATGGATGAATATGGAGCTGCAGTCTTTGTAAGTTCCCAAATGAACTTTAACTTTGTTGAAAAGCTTGTTAAAAACGAATAGAGTGCTGTTATGGATGCCAGTTTGTCTATTGTCTATTGAATATTGAACATGATTTACTTTTTCAGAAAGGCCGATGACAGAAATGCTCAGTGAGAGACTGCACTGAGTTACAAGAGGAAGTGGAAGAGAGGCTAGTCTGGATGTGACGTCAGGACTTCGTCTCTCCATTGACCTTATGCGCCTTCTGGTAGATGGACTTCCCAGATAGCAAAATGAAACTTCTGGCCCAACATATGCCTCGGACCTCGGCCAGAGTCTGGCCCGTATACTTCCGCATCTGAGCAGAGTCTGGCTGTTATCCTCTGGTATTGACTGACTGCCAGAAGATTTTCTGCTGTGTGTGGGGGCCAAAATTCGTCCAGATGTAGAAGTACCTTACAATCATGCTGTATATGGGCCAGATTTGGGCCATGGAACCGAACATATAGTGGGCCAAAAGAAAACCAAGTATGGGGCGGATTTATTGCGTTGCTATCTGGGTTATGACATTATGAGCTATGAGTGAGCAAGGCCAGCTGTGTCCCCTTCCTTCCAGTCTTTGTGCTAGGCTACGCTAAACACCTGCTAGCACTAGTTTCATCCTTAGTGTTCTGTGCTGATCTTCTCATATAACTCTTGGCAAGGAAGTGAATGAATGCCAAACTATTCCTTTAAACTAATCCATGCCACACAACAACAACATTTGAAAACATTTGCAAAAATCACAGTTGAGGCCACATAAAACCACTCCTGTATCATCTTAATAGTAATGTTGAAAAAATGTTAAATAAACACACATTTTCACCTTTAACCATTGCTACTATCCTGGTGAGAGTTGTGGAGTATCACAGTACAGTTATATCAGTGGTAGCCAGGACAAGGGAAGGGTGAACTGTGATGGGCAACTTCTGTCGAGACATTCCTTGCTGATAACAAACAATACAATGTTTTATAATCAGTGATATTACATGACACATAGTGAATGTTAATGACCTTTTACTTTAAAAGGACATGTCTGTTGCCCAATCACTGGCCTCCACAGAGGGAGGAGGGGACAAGCGGGACCAATCAGAGCAGCCATGAAGGATTTGCACACAGGACATGATAACTCCACAAAAAGCCAACACACGGAAACAGGGTTGCACACAACAACCGTTGCTGTATTTGACACACTAACACAATGATGTGTCAACATATACAGTACAACTGATTTATTTGTGCTCAGTTTCCCAAGTTTCTTGCGAGAGCTGTGCTGAGCACACGTGTCCTGTGTGATACAGTAAGTGAGGGAGGAGGCCAGATATTGACTGCTCAGTATTTCTTTGAAGATCAATATTTGACAAAAGCCAAGACAATAACAGAAGAGAAGGAGGCGGAGGGCAGAAGCAGCTGAAGCAGTGAGCCTGGAGGAGGACAGAATAAACAGTACAACAGTGTTTAATGTTTGAGAATCTATCTCATCCATCTGCCGGGACCTGTGTCTGGACTGTGGGTGCTGGGTGACGGTCTGGTGGACATGGTGGTTGGCTGTCGGCTATAGGAAACTGAGTGTTTCCCAGACATCTTGTGTTGGGTAGTCTGAGTGGGTGGAGTGCAGAAATGTTTCTTTACGCTGTTGTTTGTTTCTGGTGGAGACAGAGACTTTGCTAAAGAGGCATTTCACATACCTAGATACTGATGGTTAAATAGTCCAAATAGCACATTCTCATTTCAGGCAACGTCGGTGTCTCACCAACTGTCTGGTGGGGAACTGGTTAGTGTTCATAACACATGGTGCTGTCGACTGTGGTGGACCAGTGATCACTCGTGATCACAGTATACTTCCACAGCACAACAATAGTGCTATTTCTAACGTGCATGTAGCCGCTAAACCCAACTTCATGCCATGAAAAAATACATTAAACCAAATGCTGCTACAATCCTCTGATTCTAGTGCGCAAATTTACCTGGTGAAGCTACTGAACATATGTCAGCAGTAAGTGCAAGTCAACACCTGTACATCAGACTTTCCCTTGTTTTGTCCTGCAATGACATCAGTAGACTCAGATGCAATGTAACGCAACAGCAAACTCAGAAGTCTGTGCTGTTTGCCGATGCCAACTTCTAAGCTGAATATAAACACAGAGAACAGCAGCTGGGATCTCGTGTTGTTTTCATGTTATACTGTACATGATTTAACTGTGACCTAGCTTCAGTCTCTGATGGACAGTTGTAACATTTTAAACTCTTTAAATCAGATTCGCAGGTCAGTGCTGCAGCAACTGACTGTTCACTAAACCCTGCCCTCAATGAGCAGTAATAGCTTCGTACCTAGGCACAGCCGGCCTGTCAAGCTTTGGAGGCCATAGTAAGAGAGCTAGTCTGCACTTGGGGAGTTTATATCTGTGTGTAATTGTTAGCATGTGCGGCTAATTGCTTACTACTTGACAGGTGTAGCAACAGTAACTGGGCTGCAGGACTTAACCAAAAGTCAGTTAGAGAATGGAGGGGCAACCATGTCTAAGTAAGACAGGTAGCATTGATTGTTTTGTTGGTCTTGTTTTAGTGGCTACAGTGCATGCTGGAGCTACAGCTACAGCTATGGAGCATGCTTTGTGAGACTGTAACGTAAGTGTGTCTCACGCAGGGGGGGCGGGCACAGGAATGGCCACCGGCGCTGTGGCCGCTGGCGCAGTCGCCCCCGACCCCGACACCGTCACCGGCTTGGACACCGGCACGGGCGAGGACGCCAGTATTTGCTGCAAGCGGCGTTTGGGCTGCAGCACCTTCAGAGGGTTGAATCTGAGGAAAAGAGACGAAAGAGAGGAGGACACCACAGCTACAGATTGATCTGTCTGTGGCTACACAACCATCATAACCATACATCTTGCCTATAGTTTAGGGCATTTATCTGTCCGTGATCCACTCATAAACCTATGATTTGTCTCAACTGGATTCTGGATTTAATCACTTTAAAAACATTATTATAGTTGGATTTTCAGCAATATGCAGTAAAATTACTTAGGATGTGATTCTTCAGCAAACTGGCTCTCCATGGTATTAAAGTACTGACTGTGTAAAACTGGACAACAGCATTAAATCAATGCCCAATAATCATTGTACACATTATGTATAATACATACAGTCTGCTCTGTATACATTATCGGAGCATTTGCATTGTAAAGTGAGAACACTGAAGTCTGAGCCTGAATGACTTAATGGATGGAGAAGAGGTCATCACTGGTCCCTAGAGACGACGAAAACTCAGTAACACAGTCTTATCTTTAACTCGTGTCCAGTAAACAGGCAAAGGAAGTCCAGTAGCTGTAGGAGAAAACACATCAATATACCACACTCAATAAACTGTATTCAGGTTGCAGTAAACTTGATGCTCATTAGTAGGAGGTGGCTGAAAGCATGTAGCTTATTTTAAGTCCATCTTCTTGTCAAATGTACCACGGCAGCAGCATCATTAGAGCTGACTGAAAAAATTGGAAAAATGAACTGCTGATATATCCATGACTGAAAAGAAAGAGAGTATTTAATTAAAAAAAAAGCTGATGAATTAATGAAAAGTTGTATAATGGGTGTCTTATTAGAAAGTAGTACTGAACTGAGTTCTCACAACATCTGGTTGAATTGGAGGAAACCTGTGCTCAGAAAGTTTTTGAAAGATAGATGCCAAACACACCCATCCAGGGCACACATAGTACTTTGGTGCTAGACGCATAAAACTCTGTAGCTTAACAACTAAAGCTCTGTGTAGCTCTGTGGTTTATTTGGTCAGATTTATGAACCTATGCTCATGTGTGTCTCTGCTTTATAAATGTAACCCATTTGAAACAGGGCTACCAAAACCCTATTGGTGGTTTTGTTACACTGTGCAACACCTGCTGTAGGTGGCGCTATGTGCTGTTTCCTGTGGCTGTTTTCCCAACACCCCCACACTTGACCTTGTGACCCTCCTCCTGAAACGTCCTTGACAACGTGCTGCAGATCAGCTAAACAATTCTTGGTAGGAAACAGCACAGAATAATTGTAAAACCTTGAATATTTCCATGTGTCAACGCTAATAAGCTGCTCTTTTATTAGAATCCCGACTATGAACTTGAGGGAGAAAGCTTCTGTCGAGTTGTTAGTGTTGAAATCCTGGTGAGTTGAACCAAACATTCTTTGCTAGTCTGTTGTTAGCCACTGCGAAGAGAGATAATACACTTTACTTGCTGTTCAAGTTCAGATACTTTTCATAGAAAACAGTCGGGGTTATGAGAATGTTGTCTAAAGTTTTCACTGTACTTTGGTGCGTTTTGTATCGTTGTTTTATTGTTCTGAAAAGATCGCTAATGCTAATCGAGGCTAACCGCTGACCGTTGGCCTCGGTTAGAGGGGTGTCATTGTAATAACGCAGCGCCAGTTGCTGGTTTGATTAGTGGAACAGTTCATAGCTGTAATGAAATATTAAAGGCGCATTGTACTTAACCCATTTACATTACAGCCATTTGTTAGAAGAGTTAACTTGTCTCAGTGTTTGTAGCACAGCTATATTGTGGTTGAACTGAGCTAGGTTGTTGAAGTTGTATGTTAGAAGGTTAATAGTGTTAATTTAATTCATATTCATTTTTAAGAGAAACATTGAAATGTGATGTATAAAATTGATGTTTCAAAATAGTAAAGTGATGTGTTTCAAAAAAAAAAAAAGAAGCTACATACAGTAGTTCATCTGTTCATACTAAAATGCACCTTATATTGTGATCTTAGGTAATTAATGACAAATATTTCATTTGTTTATGTTAAAAATACCAAAGGAGGTCATGATAAAGAGTAATTCATGTCATGTTAATTGAAGTATATCCTTATTGGTTATACTTTAAATTATAAGATGGTTGAATTGCAGGTCTCATGTCAGACATAGAGAACAGAGTAACTTATCGTTCTGCACTTTGTGTAGATTTGTTTTTGTTTACCAGATAAAATCTGTGAGGAATCTGTGATGGAGAGCCTAGGCTGTGAGATTGTGGATGAACGTGGAAACGGTGAGGCCAACCGTGGGATCAGTCCATAGAAGACATCTGAACAGCAGCCAATCACCTCCCAGCCACATGGGAGAACTAAACAATCACTCATCTGTCTCATCTCAGGCCAAATACTGGTGAGAGCAGCAGAGGTGAGCGAAGGGAACGGGCATTTGTATCTGTGTGTTTAAGGACTGATACTTGTGTGTTTGTATGTTCATGTTGATTAATTCACATGGACCCCAGATAATGACGCATTTACACTATTAACTCTACCCAGGTAGTAGTAGTTATCATAGGTGCAGAACATCCAACACACACACCTGCACAGGAACAAAGAAACTGAACTCTTGGTTTTCTGACATTTCAAATGAGTGCTGGAGTTGAGGATCTCATCTTGAAGGGGAGTGATTATTTATTTTTTTATTTTGCTTAGTTTCTTTTTTATTTGAAAGAGTTCTGTCTTTACATTTTTGATTCATTTTGTTTGTACACAAATTGCAGCACTGTGTAAATTATATTATTGCTGTGGAGGAATAAATCTGTCAACTGTTCAGTGTCATTCTAATTCCTCTTGTGAGTTTTTAAAGGCAAACCGCTCCTTGAACCTAGGTAGATGTTAGTATCAGTGTTATTTCCATAGATCAAGACTACAGGCGCTACACAAAGCTCAACCATCATGAAACTGGGTGCACATACATGAGCCCGCAGTTAACCATAGATGGATGTAGACACACCGTCAATCATATGTTTGCATATCAATGCTTCTGCCCGCTCCACCAGTCTTCCAATAAGAAGAAAATACAAAAAAGGTGCAATTTATTATTACATGATACCATCTGTAGAGACTGTATTATCAATAATTCACTCCACCTCTTAATGTATTTTTCATCTCCAGCTCATCATATAGAGTAACCCTTGGCTTACTCTAGAAAACCATGTGTATGTCCAGTGATGTATGCATGAAGTGCACATGTTGTTTATGTGATGGAAATGACATATGCATGGTTTTGTGCACTTACACATAGTGGTGGTTAAGTCTTTCTTCTCTGGTCTAATTGTTTACATGAACTATTCATATACATTATCACAAATGAACGTATATTAAAAATCAAGCACCACAGGATTCCTATTCAACATAAAAAAAACCCAAAATGTCTCTGTTAGTATACTTATCCAGGGTTGTTGCTGAAAGATGAAAAATCAGGGCTCCTCATTGGCTACCTACCGGCGAGAGCCCGACGCAGACCTCCGATTGGCTGGAGCAGGGGCAGACATGGGGCCAGACAGCCTCCTGCACAACCTGAAGTTTCTTCTGTCCTCACTTTCTGCTCTGCAGCTCACCGGTCAAAACCTGGAGCCTGGAGGAGAACACAGACATGACCAGTGAGTGACCCCACACACACACACACACACACACACACACAGCCTCTGCGTTTGGCTCTGGATGCCTCAGCATGCAGCACAGTGCCACTGACTCAAGCTGACACTTGGCTGGCAAACACAGGGCATCAGGCTTCAGCAGCCAATCACCTCCCAGCCACATGGGAGAACTAACCAATAATCACTCATCTGTCTCATCTCAGGCCAAATAATGGTGAGAGCAGCAGAAGTGAGCGAAGGGAACGGACCTTTGCATCTGTATCTGTGTGTGTAGGGACCGATACGTGTGTGTGTGTGTGTGTGTGTGTGTACACGTGCCTGAGTGTGTATGTTCATGTGTGCCACTATGTCAGAGCTTGTCATCTGCCTCTGTGTGAGTACTGAGACACACACGTGGCTGTGAGGATGATGAGAGATGAGGACAGAACAGCGCCTGCCTTCACTCACAAACATTTAATCATTAGTGACCCAACAGAGCTCACCTCGGCATAATGCTGCTGAAAAAGCCAAATGCAAATATATGCAGGTGTTCAAAATGGAAACATAAATAAAACAAAATCCTGCCATCATCTGCTGTGAGACAGAGAGAAGCAGGCTGAGAATGAGAGACAAGATAGAAACACACAGAGGAAATGGGGAGGATTTTTCTCATCAATAATAAATCACACATAACTTAGTGGCCTCGTGTGTGTGTGTGTGTGTGTGTGTGTGTGTGCGTGTGTGTGTGTGTGTGTGTGTGTGTGTGTGTGTGTGTGTGTGTGTGTGTGTGCGCTTGCGTGTGCGTGCGTTGGTGTGCGCGTGTGTGAGTGAGAGTGTGAGAGACTATAAGGCACCTGCTGTAAGTCACCTTCCTGCCGTAACACCTGTGTTGTCTTCTCCCACTACAGTCAGTACTGTAGGTGGATTAAAGCCTGATATTCTAACACAACAACATGTTATTCTTTCAAATCCTGCTAACACACACATCTACCTACTGTACACATCTGAGCCCTAGTTTCATTTATCTAGAATTGTTCCTCTGATCTCTGTCATTTAATGGTTTTTGGATTTTCTTTTCTGGAACGACCAGAAGTGTGTGTATTTGTATGTTTACATGTAATATGATATGTCAAAGGCTGGACATAGTATATATAACCCCAGGTTTACCACATATCATTTGGGTCTGTGTCAAACTATATCTTTCTGTTCACAGCGTGCAATTTATTCATACCAAAATCAAACTTCTCTCCTTCTTTTGTAAAATCCTCCATCTATCTATCCAGCAGTTTTACCAAAACCATTTTGTCTTCATTTTTGTGCTTGTTTGTTGCTCTTTTTGCCTCCACACCTCCCTCTAACTGCTGCGTTTTGTAGTTGAGTCGGCCTGACATATCTCCACCTGAAACACTGTACCTCCACTAACAGCATCATAACAACCCCGACACCATCTCTAAAACATCAGAATCTCACTCCAGTTGTTGTTGTTCATGCCAGCATGACAAGGTGTAGGTGTTTGATTTATGTTCACTTTTTATGTGGGGAACCATGTTAAACAAAATATTATAAAGTGTATTTTTATATAGAAACATTTCTACAGTTTGACAGAATCTGATGTTTTTGGTCAGGTTGTTGAATGTAATCAAAACATATTATAGTGCTGCACATTTTTTCCAGCTTGTATGTGTTTTTTTTTTTTTTAATCTGGAGTAAAGAGGGCTAATGCCTCTAAATCCTGTTTCATTAATGCTTTTTTAGTTTCAATCAATCATCAGCCTGCTTAATCAATCTTTAATAAGGTGATGTAACTGGCTGACTGAATGGCCATGATTAAAGATGGAGAGATTCAAAGCAATGAAGAAGGAAACACAGGGAGCAGGGAAGGTGAATGGGGACAAACCGGCAGCCATTACTTAAATCTGATTGGCTGCTGGAGCTGTTCAGATCAAAGCTACAGGGAATATGATGATGACTCAGAAACAAGTATGGAAAATCATGCACACACAGCAAAGACAGAATGGCATCATGGTCATGTATTACTTGTAAAAACAGTATACAAATATTTCTTGTCTATTGTATAACATAATTATAATAATGCTGGATTTTTTTCATGAATCGTAATATTACTGTACACAGTGTGACATAGGCCCAGGAAGGCAGCATGTTCTCCAGCTCTGGCCGCTGTCGCAACAGATCAAACCACACGGCATCACATCATACAGGATTTATTTAGTTAGGCCTGTTATGTAACACCATCCCCAGCCTCAGTCAGCCTAAGTGCGTTCGACACGCAAGCAGCTTCTGTGCTGACGAGACAGAAACACAGAGCAGGTAAAAAGAAAGAGATACAGTAGGGGTGGGAGAGAGAGAGAGGGAGGTAAAGAAGAAGAGAGGGAAGCCAATGAGATGGAAGGAGGTGGCGACACGTGCATAGATAGAAGATGATAATCTGCAGCAATTGTTCATCCCCCTCTGTGTCTGCAGCGGAGGAGACACTGCAGTTTCTCTTATGAAAGACAGTGTCCTTGCTATGTAGGAAAATGTGGCCTTAATTAATCTGTGTATCTATTGGTGCGTCATACATGTGTGTTTGTGCATGCAAATCCTCACACACTGACAGCAGAAAAACTGTGACAAAGAACTGAACTGAGAGCATAAATTCTGGTTCAAACAAGATACGGTATAATGCAAGAAAAGGGTTTAAATGCATAGACAATGGAGTACCAGAGCTCCCCTCTTTGTCCGGACTGAGCAGACTGCAGCGGTAATGCAACTCATGACTTATACCTAAGGTCGGACACAGTGAGGAGGGGAGGGGGTGTGTGCAGGGGAAAGTGTGACTCACACCAACTACGCTAGAGAGTCTCAATCCTAAACAGGCAAATGCTGGCAAACAGAGGTTCAGGACTGTTAGGTGACCTCAGGGTCTGCAACACTGACTCACTGCTGCTAATTCAGGAGACCTATTCAACAGTGAGTGTATAAGTGTCATCCAAAGCCCCCTGGTCATTTTCAGCACTTTCCTTGGCTGGTGTTTGCAAACTGAGCCACTGAATCATGGATAAATGCTAACTTTTTATTATCCTGTCTGTATTTGTTATCTCACTTTGTTGTCTTGATTTTAAATCAGACAGAAGTCAACAATGTGCTGAGTCAGGGTGCTGTGGTGAGTTGTACACCAGTGACCTGTCATTGTGCACCTAGCTGACCATTTGCTGTCACCGCTCATTGTTTACAGTTTTACATGACAGAAATGCCACAGGAATTTTCAGAAACTGTCACTCCGAAGTTGTGCATTTCCATTTCAATGAGTCTAATCAGCAGGGCTGTAAAGGTAACATGGTGCAGCATGTTACTATTTCATATATAATACAATTTAAAGTTTAATTTGAAATGTTTCAAGAAAATATGCTTATTTGAGTTAGATTTGAAATTTGATTTCACTCATGAATTTCCCCTAGGGGATAAATAAAGTCTCTGTCTGTCTGTCTGATGTAAATATGAGGCTAGATTCAGAAGGTGGTAAACTTAGTTTAGCATGAACACCAAAAAATTGGGGGAAATGCACCGAGCTTCATTTTGTCCAAAGTTTTAAAAATCTTCTTACACTGTAAAAACACCAACTCATATTTTGTGCCCTAAAGAAGGATTAAAATGTGTTTGGTCTGAGAAATATAAATCCATAAATCAGCATTTAAAGTAAAATGTCCTGTAGCACCAGAAGTCTCAGGCTGAGGGGGATTATGAATAATAACTTCTCTAATGTTAATTACATTTTCTCATTTCAAGGAAAATAAGGACTGTAATAAGTAAAAAGTTCATGAGGGAGAGCTTTTTCTGGAATCTCAAATTAAAGTGCTTAATTTTAGAAAAATGACATAAATTGGCTGAGTAGCATCTCATGACCAGTGCCGTAAAGACTATAAGCTGCGCGATTAAAATGGAAATACTCCATCAAAATGTAATGCTTCTCAATAATTTATAGGTTATCCTGGTCCGGAGAGGACGGTGTCTGGGTCCGGATCCAGACTGCAGGCTGCTTATTAGTTACCTGTGGCCTAGATTGTCATTCATGACGAGGTGAAAAAGTTCTGTTAACTTGTGTTTAGTTGTAGATGACCAACTGATTCTTCACCAAACTCATCAAATCATGTTATTTAGAAACAGTGTTGAATTGATACCGTACTTCCCAGCATGCTTTGTATTTGGGTTAAAATTGTGAAAACCTTCTTTTCTACTAATTTACTAATTTTATGTGTCTTTTTATAACAAGTGAACAAACAGTAAAACTTTAAATGAGCTGACACAACAGATTAGCCCCCAAGTTGAGAAAGTTGCTGTTTTCTTTGAGTTTTCCTTTAGGCAGAGTCAGGCTAGATGTTTGCCCCTGTTTCCAGTCTTGATGCTATGGTAAGCAAACTAGTTGCTGGTTCCAGCTTCATATATAGTGTAAACATATGAGAGTGCTGTCAATTGTATTATCTAATTTTCAGCAAGAAAGTAAATAAATATATTTCCCAAAAAAAATGTCCAACTATTCCTTTAACATCTCACATAAATACATATAAATACAAATAAATTTGATCCAGAGACTATCCCATCACCATCCCGCAGCATTTAAATACAGCACTATACAGACTGAGCTCTTCATTAGCTAACACAATAAATTCTGAGTAGTGAGCTCCCCTTGCCTTATAAGGATTAGCCAAACAAGCGGGTAGCATTTCTATTCCTGTACACGATGTCCCAAACTCCATAAGTTGAGAAGCTCATCTGATTTAAATAAAACATCTGTGAGCTGAATGCAGCAGCGTGGCATCGCTCCAAGACAAAGTCTCTCTCTGCCCAGATGATGATGATGATGATGATGATGATGATTCATGCGCTTATCTGGACAGTCTGCACAGTCAGCAGCTTCTATTAGCATGCTGCCTGGGAAACACAGCTGTGTGTTTGAGGTTCTCTTAGTGCTATAAATACTCACAATTCTGAAATATTTAAT